GTTTCACTGTAGGATCCTATGGTGGCTCTTTAGTCGTTTGCAGCCTTTGCTTAGATGCTTCATACAGGACAGTGTTTCCACTTGGGCAAAATAAAGCTCTCTGAGTAGGGTACTTGCAAAGGCAGTCCTAATCGCCGTAGTGTTTAAGAATTGTTCTTGTGTGATTTTTTTTGGTCGGAAGAGTGAGCAAATGGTGTGAGAATGTAAAGGTTGCACTGTGCTCTGGTATAAATCCCACTGTTTTTCCCCCGCAGATGCGACGGAGGCGGGAGGCGGAGGAAACCAAGCGCATGCTGCAGGAATTACGCTCTGTCCTGACGGTCAGGAAGGCCCAACGGGAACGCATGAAATCAGAGAGGATCAAGACGTACAAGAAAACCTCTGGCAGGGTCAGTCCCAGCGACTCTTCCAAGACTGATGGAGGTACTGAGCAAGATCAGTGCACAGGTAGGGGAATGCCTGAGGGTGACATCGGTACAGTGGATACCCCGAGTGAAAATGCAGGAGGGATCCTGGCCAGTAATAAGGCGCTCAACGCTTCTGAGGATTCCAGTGATTTTAGAATGCTTCGATGCATAAATGCAGAGAATCCGGGCCCAAGAGAGAATGCAGGTGGCAGAACGAGTGGTTCCTCAAGGGATTTTGGCCCAAATTCTCCCCTACATGATGATGCAGATGCTAGGAAGTCCAGTATTGGTGCTACAGACGATGTCGGATCAGTGGGCCTCTCATCAACGGATGCTGGAGAAATGGAAGTGGCAAGGTTCGTCACAGCAGGTCCTCCCTGTTCCACCTCAGAGAGTGAACTTGTTCACAACGGCGAATTCAATGAGTCATACTGGCAAGAGGGAACAAGTGTAGGTGACTCCCACATGACTAAACTGGCCGGGAAAAGTAGCGTGATGGCATATGACATGGATCAATCTGAGACAAATCTACCTGGTAACGAACCTCTGCAAGACTCTGCTACAGTGAAGTCCCCTTTCAACCTGACGGAAGGGCAGACACAATTCGGGATGTCTTTCCTCCCATCCCTAGCAGCAGAAGCTGCCAAGAGATCCAGGCAGTGCCGGCAAGAAGAAGAAACTTTCATTGGAAGCGACGATGACAGCGAAGCATCGGAGGTCGGGGTACAGGAATGAAACATCAAAACATGTATACATGTGATTGCGTTACATTATATGCTTCATCTGTTGACTTCATCCTTACAGAATGGTGTAAACCCGGTTAAGGCATTCCGCCATCTTCTCTCATCCAGAGGAAAATATAATTGTATCATCCATGTAAGCTTGTGCTTCCACCCAGCCAATTCATCCCCTGGGGCAACACGGTAGGACCTTTTGCAGAATGGCTCATTCATTTGTCAGGTGAATCTCATGAAAGACCTTGTTGGTAGCACCAATGTCCCAATCAGCCCTAGCAAAGACATCGGCCCCTATGATAAACCATCCTGGGGATTCTCTGTCTTTCTTCATGACTCACTGGGCTCCATATGTTATGTTGTCAGGCCAGTGTGTGACGTCATTTACATGAACCCTATCAGCTCCGAGCGGAACGAAAGCGGGCGTGCTTTTTTTGGTACTCACCGCATAGGCGCGTGTTTATAATGGAGATCAATGCACCTTTGACACAGAGCGCACTGAGTAAACGTAACAAATTTATTCCTTAATGTATGGTCTTTGCGTACATGCAGAACGCATGCAAGAACCCGCTTGGAAAACTTACAACCATCTGTCTTCTTTTGCCGCTTGGGGATGCACTTCAGCTCAAGGCAGATACATGTACATGAAGATACAAAAACAGCAATATTCCCTCTGTAAGCGAACGACAAAATCAAGAGGCCAAGCTTCATCACGGTGGATTTTCTCTTTTCATATACTATTTGTCAGATTGGGTTTATCCTTGTTACAAGTGTGACTTGTGCTATACATTTTGATGCTCCCACCCTGTTCAGCCCTCTCTTTACTTACACTTCAATACTGTTTCCTGTTTTCCACTTCTACTTGATATCTGGGTTAACACATACATGTACAAATATCTTTATTTGTGAATTTTTGTGTTTAAGTTTCAATGCCTAATTTTTAATACCCAAATTTACATTTTTTATTTTTATTACACTACTGTTTTAAAACTTACAGAAAGAATTTGTGTGAGTACATTTAGCACAAGTGCAATTCAACCTTTGGGTTGCTATAGCCTCTTTACCAGACACAAGTCAAATAATCAACCGAGTATAACAGGACATAATCATAATGGCTTTCATCTTCACAGAATGAAGTTCATCATCCTGTGATACTGTGATGCATGTACAAGCATACGGTGTACATCACAGCATTCCTCAAAGCCCTTCTCTGTCAGCTAGGTTGTAGACATTCTTGCACCCTGTGGAACCGACTGCACTCGGCAGAACTGGCGGTGGGTTTTTTTCACCCCAAGGATGTCATTAGCAACAGAGTATGAGTAGATGTTCGGTGTCATTGCAAATGCCTTCAACTTGGTCGCACTGATCAATATCCCTTGTTAGCCAAGCGCCAAATATTGCCCTTCACGAAGCAGACTTTTTGGGTGTCTGTGTTTTCCCTGCTTGTAAAACTCACGCAGCATTGGTCGTAAGTTGTAGCATAAATATTGCTTTTTCGTGTAAAAAATAAAATGAAAAATGACAGCTATTCTATATGCACGTGTATGTGTACATGCATGATATGTGAAGAAACAGAACACCTGAAATAAAATCCGTTGAACAAAAGACAATTTTACTCAGTTTACTTGTCTTTTTATAGCTATCCAGCGTGCTCTCAGTTAAGGGAACATTCCCCACGTACACTCTACCAAGCCAACTCTTGCAACCGGTATACATTGTAGGCTAGCTATTAAGCACCTGACTTTAATTGTCTTTGCCATAGAGTCTGGAAGACTAATTTGGTTCTTAAAGGTGTTTTACTTTAATTTCAATGTGCAATAGTGAGACACATCAGGCAGCGTTCATAATGTTGGGTTTGGTCATATTCAATGCTACCCAGCATTTGTGTTATGGAATACTTTTATGTTTAAAAAAAGGCTGACTTTTCAGGTCATGTATACATAACAAGTACTGACAAGTTGAGCTTTATACCGGATTCAAAGTAAAGAACATGAACAATATTCCGGTCTTGGGACACAATCCAGTTTTTAAACCATGGCATAATTTCTATTCTTAACACCAAAACGTACAAATTGAACAGTTTGCAATAAAAAGTATCATAACTTCATGACAGGTTCATTTCAGCAAATTGTAAAGCCAAATTGATTTCAAGATGTTTACATGTCCACTTTAAACATATATTCTGCCCAAGACCCCGATGGAAATGTTTCGGTTACAAGCTATGCAATGATTCATTTCTCAGTTTCCTGGTGTTACATGTAAGTACTGTACACTGTAAATTAATAGTTTTCATGGAAACAAATTTTTTCCAGGTAACTTTCGCTGCCAGGTAAAATACAGATCTGTTTGAACGTTCAAGGCTCTGGTGAACATGTAGTGTCTTTTTTTGTGTGGTAAAAAACCTCAAGTTCTGGAAGTTGATTATCTGCATTAAGTTCTCTCAACAGTTTGCTGGTTCAAAGTAATACAGGACAATGCTAACACATAAGTTCAATACTATTCTGATACTTTTATACAAATAATGCTGAAAACTATGTACATGTACACAACCTTGGTTAGAAATTTATATACAACCCTGGTAAAACAGTTCTGTAAAACAGCATATTTACATTTGTAAAAATATGTACATGTTATATTATTACCAGTGTGCACAAATGTCTTAGAAAAAAATGGCAGTCATCTCGAGTTTTTCAAAAGGGCATTAAACTGTACACTGATGTCGACATATCTTGGTTGTCCAGGGTCAATTTTATGTGCATATATAAAAACACTAAGGTAAAGGATTCCAGAAATGCCTGCACTTCAATGTATACTAAAAAATGAGCACTTTCTTTGCCATACAGGGTCTATGGGAAATATTTTAACACCAGAATGGTTCATTTTGATGTTAAATCAACTCTGGAAGATCCCCCCAAAAAATCCACAAACTGACAAAATCTGTGCATTTGTGTATTAAGATACAGACAGTTCAAAACAAAGAAGTCCTTTGTCTTTACAGCTATGTCTGTGAATCCCTGTAGAACAAAAGCAATGACCTCAATGATGGCAGCCATGCGCAACCTCTAGATACAACCACACAGCACAGCCATTATAAAACTCTGTTTTCACTCAGCGATGCTGGACACCAAGCCCTACTCGTGCAACCCAAATACCAAGTGCATGTATTTAGCGCTTAATTTCAGACTCCAGATGTGGTCTCAAATACAAATATAATCGTGATAATGCTCACGTCATTATAAATAAACTAGCCGTGAAGCATAAAACAGAAATACACACAAATCAATGAGTTGTTTCTTGAACACCACAAACACTAAAATATTAACATAAGCATGCTGCACGCTGAGGTTAAGGGTGGGAATTTACGTTTAATTTGAAAAAGGTTTATGAAAACTTTCCCATACCATTTAAACATTTAGCAAACACTTTACAGAGACCTCTGCTGCCTACATAGGTGTTTCCATATGCATAATTACATAGTTCAACCATGCACATTGTCCCAACCAGTGTAAAATGTAGCTTGATGATTGGGTATTTAAAACAAGTCATGTTTACTGTTGTTTTTTTACTGAACTGTTTTTGTTTAAACATATAAAGTAACATCCCACCCTATTAAAGCTGAGGCACCGGTACATGTAAGTCCATTATTGGCATATTTTTACATACATGCGATTTTCGATGAAGCCATAGTAGAAACTGAAATGAATCCTCACTAGTTCGGAGTTCCAAGTATGACGGCAGCAATTCTCAATACGATTGACCCTCAACTTTTATCCTGTAAAAGGTTTTTTTCTCTGATTTGCGATTCAATATTGGTAATGCAGTAGTGCATGACGCTTTACCAGGTGATGCACTTTGAAGTGGGATCGATGGAAGTTGACAAATGGAAGAAAGTTTGGAATGACTGCGGCATGCCAGGAAGTGACAAGAGAGGGAGCTGCAGGGTTTGACAATCAAAGCATTATGAACAAGGTACGATATCCGAGAGCTGGATTTGATCAGAGTTGTAGCTACATGTATGTTAACGAGGCATCTCTAAGGAAAACATGTTTTCTCTGATTTCATCTGTTCAAATAAGTATGGAAGCATCCAAATCAAACGCAGTGCCATTTGTCTTCAGAGCTCAACTACAAAAAGCTAAAAGGGGCTTTTTTCTGTTCATGCCAAGATGTGAATTCTGAATGTAGATTGCGTCATTCGGAGAAAACACAGAATACGAGGGGAACTCTCGCCCTGTGTTAGTAGTGGATAAGCCCTTGTTTATGCCACACAATGGCTACAAACAATTGCTATATGCGCTGTTTGGCAAGCACAAGGGTTTATCCAATATAAAAGCAGGGCAAGGGTTCCCCTCGTTTTCTCCGAATGACGCAATCTGCATTCAGAATTCGCATCTTGGCATGAACAAGAAAGCCCTTTCAAGCTTGTTATAGTTGAGCCCTGAAGACAAATGACACTGCGTTCGATTTGGATGCTTCCATATTTATTTGAACAGATGAAATCAGAGAATAATGTTTTCCTTAGAGATACCTCTTTAACTTTTTTCAACAGTGTAGCGTTACTGACTGGCCCTGAAATTCCTGACAAAATGGCACAATGCCTATGAACCGATATCTTATTTAGGGCACATCACACGTGAACAGCGTCCTCATGCCTGCGACACGGCACAGAGGCTACACACACAATCACCCAAATGTTCCCACAACTGTATCACCAGCAAGTGCACAGCAGAAAATAGCAATGGTGCATTGAAAACGCCAACACACACAGACGAAGTGATGTAATATAAACTCTTAAAGAGCACCATACAAACAACCTTTATATTAATTACATTCCATTCCACAAAATACACAATCCCTATGCAAGACCATTTTGGCAAACTTCAAGTCTTCAAAACAAAACACCACAAGAGATCTTTGATGTACCGGTACAGGCTCACTGAAGTCGTCGGGTTCTATATAAAAGATAAACCCACTTCCGAAGGGCCTACTGTTGCAGACCCTGTCAATAGTTGCCGATTCTGACCTAGGAACAAAAGACCTCCTTTGAGGTATATGAGGCACTTCTATTGCATCTCGAGAGCCAACTCCTGTAGAATCCAAACCGGCCTGTGCTTCTCAGAGGCCTGACACACTCGTCCGGTCTGGGTGTACCGTCCGTCTGGATTTCTCCTCACGAAGCTACTTGCATACCGCCGTTGAACGAGAGATTTAGTGACATGTACTCTGCTGCTGAGCTTTCTGGGTGCCTGCAGAACCAAACCAAATGAATGCATTACAAAAGGTAGCACTCCCAGATCCTTCAAAACCTACTGGGCTTTGAGAAATTTAGTGGAGCAAGGAAGACAGAGGAAATGAGTTAACTGCCTCTAGTCTTTCAAATATTAATGCTCGTATCCCGAAGCCAAAGTGGCCACAAAGCGTTCTATGTAAGAAAATCAATCTTCTTATATGTGCAGTCATGAGGTAAAACAATGATTGTGGTAGGATTTCCACCTCATGGCTGTACTTTGTGGTATTAATACATGTACATAATTTTATGCACACCACGAATTACCAACAGCCTAAAATGCTCACTGTGATTACTTGACTGCACTAAAATTGTCACATGCCAGCATACGAGGAAAGAAACATTCTAGCTTCAGCAGCAGAGCAAACGAGAAGTCAGTTTTGCAATGCCTACCTTGTCCCGGGCCTGAGCAGCGTTATTTGCTCCAGGCTGGTGACGGTGCTGGACGACCTGCTCTGCTGGTCGAGACTGGACGTTGATGATGACCTCTGCTGGCTGCCGCCCTGGCTAGAGTGTAGCCGAGGGAAGCCTGAGAACCGACGTTCCCTGGCCCCCCCAATCTCACCCCCCCAGGCAGAGCGAGGTCCACGACGGCCATAGGTGGGGCTGTGAAAGGGAGGAATCAACTGCAGGTTATACTTTTGTGGATGGTATATTTGCTCCCAAACCCCCAAGTATTGAAGAAAGCGAGACAAATTGGCCCAAAATACAGCCAGATGCCACCAGTACTGCCAAACCTGCTGTTGCGGCCGCCTTATTATAGCGGCCACCTCTCTAAACTGGCCGCCTTAGCTGGTTCCCGTTTCATTCTCACGTAAACATACTGTAACCATGTCTTGCTATTGCGGCCACTGCATAATGCAGCCTGCGGCCAGCCCGGAGTGAATCGTTTGTGTACAATTACATTGCAGTGTAAATCTTTGTACTCTGGCCTCAAAAACGAAGTGGACCCTCTAGTGACTTTGAAATTCTCCCCATTGTTTAGTTCCCAGACTGTACACTTGTATTTTTGACAAATGACACCGAGCGCACAGACTAATATATCGTTCACTTGGCATGACACGTGCAACGTTGCTGCAACGTTTGTTGTGTTAAAATGTGAAGTGTTTGTGAGCTAGTTTTTATCATCGTTGATTTCGATTTGAAGTGTCCAACTTGTGTAAGGCCTACATCACAAACAAATGTCAAAAATGTATGCTGATTTCTTCTTGCCATTCTTGTGTCTTGAGAGCAAGAGATACATGCAAAATAAAATTTTTGCCTCAGACTGACACATTTTATTAGCATTGTTATTGGTACATTTATTATTCAAATGGAGGGTTTACTTGTACATACAGTGGCACCAATTTGTGTATGTACATGCACATGTATATTGTGAGCATGTACATGTACATATGTACAGCCTTGCTATAGTAGCCACCTGCCCTAGTGGCTGGAAACAGCCGGTCCCGCAGGTGGCCACTATGTCAAGGTTTGACTGTATGATACAATGTAATTACAATATCTATGATAAGCTAATAGTTTGCAACACTCCGAGGCACCAGCACAAAGCACATATTTGCTATAATGGCAGTGATCAAGTTCAGGTTAAACACTCCTGGCTCCAAAGAATTCCCACATGGGTGTACAGAACATCAGGGCATCAGACGTGTATAGATGTCTGTCCTGCAGGCTTAAGAAGCTTGTCAACTCAGGTTCGCTGCCAAAGCAGACTTCCGGGAGTGCACGCTGTACAAGCTGAAAGGAGGGGGGGGGTCCAGGCCTACCTGAAGTGGAAGTCCGGCGGCAGTATTCTGCCCAGTGTGGCATCCCGCTTGGATTTCAACATCTGCTTCTCAAAGTCCTTTCTGGCGTTGCCGTAGCCGTTGAAGATGTGGTCGCAAAACAGGAGCCTGGAGTTGGCATAGATCTGTTGGGTTGAAGTAATGTTTTGTTAAGACCTTTTGCTGTGCTTTGTTTTGAGGCACAAACTGAAACAGTGCCAGGTTACTGAGTCAAAAGTCACAGAATGTAACAGAGTGAGCCTTAAGTTTTACACAGAAATCAATGTCACAGGATGAAATAAAGAAGTCACAATCATTACTTTTCAATAATGTGTATACATGGTCAGTAAGGATGGCATCCCTATACAGAAACCACTCATGCACATCATTTTGACAAAACAGGTGTTCACTTTGTCATTGGTTGTTTAAAATGTTGTCCATTTCAAGGGTCATTTTTGATTGGTGGAGAGTGCTTTTGAGTGTGACTTTTGATTCAGTAATCAAGTTGCTGTGCATGTCAATTTCTTCTTTGTTATAAAGATAATCACTTGCTTTTGGGCATGTGATTAGTAAGGGGTATTGCAGCATACCTGTGTACAAAAATTGTTTATTTCTATGGAGTGAATTTTTATGTGTGGCCTTTGACAGAAGTGGCAAGTTTCTTTTGCTGTCCGGTGGATTTGATGTGAAACCACAGAAGTCTTGAAAACTATAGGTGCTACCATCTTCTGTTCAAAACCACCCACATGATGGCCCTCTATCAATTAGACTGGGCAAACTGTCAGAGGTATGGTGACTGTTTACGGTATGAGCATCCTGCTCATGACTCGTCAATTTCAGCATGCCAAATCACCCCAAGCATGTTTCCAGTGTGCTATATTTTAACAGACAACTCAATGAATGTTATGTACATGTAAGACTGGCTGGCCATTTGCGATTAAATTTGAATAAAATCTGGTACATTTGATTGCACAGAAGTTCATGAGTGTTTGGTTTTATTTGCCTGTATCTGTAAAACTGCTACACCTGGCCATTTGTTCTCAATCAACTTTCATCATTTTCACCCAGTATTTGGGTAGTTCATTCACTGAAACAACATGCAGTCCAAACATTCCCGGGCCATATTATGAGGTATTTCTATCACCATGTAAGTTGATTTGTGGTAAAATTGCCCAGCACGGTAAGATGTAGAAATACAAATGAGAATCTGAAAAAATGTTCAATTTCACAAAAACTTACCAGAAACATTCCTGGGACGGCATTGTGTCGGGTGAAGAGCTCTGGTATATCATTGCTTGTGTACTGGGCTGCTACCGCCACATCGTACAAGAATAATCGATACGGATCACTGCGGCTCTAGAAATGAAACAAGCAGACAGGAAATTATGGAAGTTTGAACTGGAAAGAGTAAAAAATCCTCTTGCCTGCATGTAGTCTGGGCCCAGTGTACATGTTCCCCTACCTGGTAGCATGGTTTGGTTCTGTTCTTATTCTGCCGTTCGTACAAGTGTAGCAGCATGTCGGCGCACGGCAGTCCATCTGGCAGCAGGGAGGACGTCATGCAGACCACGACCAGCTGGGACCGAGGCACCTCCGAGGCCAGGAAACGCTCCAGCTCCAGGTCGTTGATGCTGGGGATGCGGTGGCGGCTGCAGCGGCAAGTTGCTATGGTATCACCCAGCATCTCCGCCCGCAGTGCACTGCATTGACCTTGTTAAGGGCAACGTGGCTTTGTGTGTATAGAGTGTTCTCCCTATACCGCTCATGTTAAATGGACGAGCAAACCATGGGATGCTAGTCATTTATACTGTTATGCCTACTGGCATTAACCCTAACTCCCTAGGGTGATTTACTAGCAAGCTTCCTCATCCTTGCAAATCTCAACACCATATAGTATAACTCTCCACATAAACAGACTGTTTATTTCTGGTATGCCTAATCCCACATAAAACACAGCCACTATGCCAGTGCAGTACTCATTGCAACCAACCCTGGTGTTGGAGTTTGGTTGATTTGGGATCGTTAGGGTTAGGCATAACAATGGTACCATGCCCAGTGTCCACCTGAAAGTATGTTAATTGATAGTTCAGTATTGGCGCTACTTTTAAAAAGGTGTATGTACCGGAAATATTAACCATGCAAACAATGTAGAAGGGTAAATGAACAAATAAACACAAACAACAAAACAAAAAAGCATTTCGGTCACTAAAAAATGACGTCTTCATGGTTCAGGATAAAGACTAAGTGACGTGTGGTTCTTCCATTTATATAATTCTATGCGCTTATAACAAAATCACGGGCTTTCTCGTATGTGGAACTTTACTCGAACACAAAACTCACTGAAACATTGAGTGAATAATATACGGCATGTTTTTACAACCACGCAGGCATGCAACTTCGACTTAGACAAAAAATGAGGAAATTCCAATCTTTACAAGACTTTGTACAGTGTTTTCAAATTTCAGTAGCCTGAAGTGTGAAGTGAATAACGAGGAAATCGCTGATTCAAGGAACAGTTGCGTGCCTGTACAACTCTTCAGTGGGACGAAAAAAGACCACTGGTTTGTTTGCATTCGGAGCCACACCAGTCAATGAATGCACATGGGAAACCACCTGCACTTGAGCTCTCTCACACAGTGGCCATCTACACGGTCAACAGGAATTCCAGTAAACGGAAACAACCCCAAGTTTACATCTTTTTAATGGGACGAGGAGAGGGGTCTGCATGCATGTTGTCAAGGATACATAGGGCAGCCGGTTAGCGGAGATGGTTTCTTCCTGTCAGTGCTGACAGTGGACATGGCAATCCTGCTAGCTGGACTACGAGACCGATCACCACTGCCAGCCACATGCCTGCAAACGGGAGATAATGTAACAACTGAATGCAGAACGATTGGATTGCAAATTGGACTGAGTTGACAAGTTTATATCAAATGTCATACTGGTCTGAGTACAATACAGCATTTGAAATATTGCTGACAGTGTCAAAGGTCAATACCTGAAAACCAGAAAGTAAAAAAAAAAATGTTTTTTTTTCATTTTTCACAACAACAGCCACGCCCAGTCCTGTCTCATTTTTGCCAGAATGCCTCAAGCACTGGCTTGATTCCTCACCCGCTTATGGTCGAAAACTTTGCGGGCGTGCCTGGTTTGGACACACCCCTGTGATCTTCCACATCCACGCGCACCCTCTCCCGCCTCTCGGTGGCCCGTGTGCTCGTGGACCGACTGCTTCTGCCCATCGACAGCGATGATACCGTGCTGAACGGCCGCTTCTTGTGTGAAGTGACGGCCGGTGCGGAAGGCACCCTGGCTTTTGCAGCCTGAGCCTTGTGCACTTGCTCCTCCTCGGCCACACCCTCCTCCAAATTCTGCGTGGGGGCCGCCTTCGCAGACTGGACGCCTCGTTTTCTCCGCTTGGACGGAGCAGCTGTGCTGATGAGTTGCATTCCGACTGCCATACGGTAATGGTCCATCCAGTCCTCACAGGCAATCCTACATAATGGTGAGTAGACACAAAATGTGACTTTCTCCTCTACACTTACCAAACGGAATAATGCATGTTTACATAACCCAACCTTAAGCTGAGTTGGGGCCAATGTTGAGTTTATAAAGGCTAGAATATTTCACAATGTAAACCAGTGCAACCCCCCCCAAACCTTTTCACCCACATAATGTTCATTCTCATCCTTATACCAAACTGAGATTTACTAAAGATTACAAGTTCAATGTGCTCTTTCTCAAATGAACTATTAAAACTAAACTTACAGAAAGTACAGCATTAAGATTTATTGCATGAGATCCAGTGATATCTACATGTATGCAGAAGAAACCTGAATAATGTTTGAGCTATGCACCAACAACTTCACACAGATATTGCTGCTTTCAGTGCTTTGTTTAAGCTGTGATGGACACTTCTATATGCTTTAATTGTGCCAGACAGTAAATGCCTGATGAAGAGACAGATTTGACAGTCCTCTTAATTTAAGCATGTACAGGTACCGTAGGTCCTACCCTTTCCCCAATGAATGTGAAGAGGTGTTTATCATATCATTAGGAGCAATAAACAATGCAGTGCATACGCCTAAATGTTCATCCCCCCCCCCAAAAAAAATTCTTTTTCACTAATTTGCTGGCCGCCAAAGCTCTTAGATGGCAGACATCTGAGTGAGACTGATGCTAGTTAACAAAGAATTCGAATGACCTCAGCATTGAAAGCTGTACGTAATGACCCCTTCTTAGTCCTACGATGTCAACTTTTCCCAACAATGCAGGGCATGCCTCTGCTGATTTGTTCCCTCTAGTGACAGTTGAAAGTACCGTGGATCACTAGGATTCACTCTGGTGACGACAGCTGCATAGAGTACCGAAGTGTGACGTCACTGCGAACCAGAAAGTGCAGTGCAAACGAATGGAGTACGCGCGCATGTTGGTTCACGCGCTGGTTCTCGCGCTAATGCCTTTTACACACTAATTGTGCGCGTGACGTATTCACTTCGGTACACTATACCAATTGCTGGTGAGTTTGGCAGTCAAATGGTACCTTGTCTTTCTTGCAAGCACAGTCAGCTCTTTCTCAGCTGGTATCCCGTACTCCGTCCGGTCTTCAATTACCAGGTTCTTGACGATCTCGGCCACCTGTTCCTTGAAAGCATTGGGCTTGGGCGCTTTGGGATTCAGAATGGGCGTGCCCTTGGCTTTCCAGCGCTGCGGCTCACGTTTTGGAGGCTTCTTGATGATCGGCGGGGGTCTTATGCTCTCCTTGGCAGCGTTGGACTGAAAATTCTCTTCCATCTCCAGATAACCCTGAAAAGCCAGAACAAGGTGATTGCAGATGACTGCTATAAATCCTTTCTAATAATAACTAGCGTATATGTATAGTTCTATAACAAACTAGGCTGCAATTACATGTGCATGCTTTTTTCCAGCCTATTGGACTTCTCAGATGAACAAACTAAACTGGTCAAACGATAATACAGGAAACAGGCGATCCTTCAGCGTCTACTGCCAGAAAGGGGATGCATGATTGAAACAGGGCAAATGGATTGACCCTTGTCAGCACACATCATATGCAGTCTGTGCACTTACATGTATGGTATCTTGATCAAGGATGTAAGTGGGTTCTATGAAATAAGGGGTAGATAATGGCATAGTATGCATGTGCACTACCCACTCGCAACTGAACTTTGCAGAAAGCCTGGAATTCTGCAAATGCAACAGCTAACCTCTGTGAAAGTTAAGAGCTAAGCATGAAAGCACAGCTAAGCGACACGGAAGTGGGCAGAAAAGGGTAAAGCAGTCCATCACTAAGCAACACACCTCATGCAGGTTTTTACAACCACAACTTACCCTCTGACAGGATAGGCACATTGGCTATTTAGGACCAATATGGAGGAAGGATTTTGCTCGACCCTGCAATCATTCCCTACTGTACAAGGACAATGCCTGGTGCTCAGTGAAAATATGTACACCTCAAACCCAGTCTGCATACGAACATGCAGTGTGCTGGTCAGGAAACACAGAAATGGAAACAAACTGCTTCCAGTAAAGTTATCAGTTGCATTTAAAAAGACTGGGCCAGGACCATACAACGAAAAAGGCCAGATAAGGCCCCCCGGAATATCCCATAGAGAATTAATCAATGCAATACAACTCACCAAGTCCTCCTGGGTGACCGGATCAATGGCCATCAGCACCTGGCCCACTTGGATCTTGGCCGACTCCTTGTGGCACAGGAAGGACAGTGTCATCTGGGTCCGGTTGTGGCAGCGGAAGCTGATGTTGTGGTTGAGGTGGAAGAAGATAGGTGTGGCCATGCGCAGATGCGGCAGGGGCCACTCCCACTTGCGTATGACCGCACCCTCGGTGTCCATCTGCATTCCCATTTTCTCGGTGCTGAGAAATCTGGTCGGTAGAAGTTGGAGCCAAACTTTCAGAAAATAATTTGGACAATCAATTCAGCCTTTCTGATTTTGTGTTGAATAAGAGTCCAGGATTTCTCGGCCTATTCTTATGTAGGGGGCATCAGCTTTAAGGTGACCACAGATTCTGGTCTGGGCAGTTTAGAATTCTCAATGCACAGTTCTCATAATTGATCAACGACATCAAGAAGAAATATTGGAACAAAGCATCCAATACTAGCACAGATGGCCTCTATCAAGAAGATGGCAGTATCAATGGGTCAACACTACTGTTTTCATGACAACATTATTAGCATTATTATTTCTGATGTAATACACAGTTTCTGCAACAACAGATTAATGACACCAAGGACAAAGACAGTAAAAAAAAATCTCTTTTAAGACCCCCTACTGCTTTGATAAATCCTGATACAAAAGCTGCAGGTTAGTGCAAGCATCCAAGTGCCATGGACACAGGGCAGAACCTCACCTGACCATTCCGTTTGGGTGATAGCATGTCCCTCTACCGGTGGGCGTAAACTCGGCCAGCATGTCGTGGCTGGTGTTGTCGTTGTACACAATGGTGTAGTAGCCTGGCCTGCCAAAACCGGCCTTGCTCAGGATAATGGCCAACTTGCCCGAAGGGTAGCTGTGGCATTGTGTGAGGTCAAGGGCAAATGTTGGCCCACTGTAAATGACTCGGGGATGCATTTTCACAAATAGGAAGGTTACTCGTTAGATACCAGGTACATGTACCACTGATTAATATGTACATAACACGTAGCAGCTATGCATGTGACAGATATTAAGACTTATTAGCTGACATAACCGTGTTGGCAATGATTTTGGGCCCATAATTAGGATGGCTTTCATGGACTCTATTTGCACTGACAGGTGTGTGCATAAACTTGAGGATGAGTAAAAACATCACACAGCACTACATACAGAATTCCCCATAACAAGACATCCTCCACATTTAGACACAGAGTCCCTGCATGCTTGGAGGTCCTACTACACAAAGTGGTTAAAAGGATACAAGACGTTCATGGTTCCGTCTGGCAGGCCCGTGATAACCTTGTGCTGGCTGGCGCTGCCTGGCGGCAGCGCCGCCTGGCCGGGCAGCCTGGGAGCGACGATGCGGCCAGCGCTGTAGCTCTGCGGCTTGCTGTTCCCTCGCTTGCTTGTGTACTTCAGCATGGCTTCCCGCTTGGCGTCACCATAGTAACGGAGCAGCAGCGGTCGATCCCGCCCCACGTCCTTCTCTCTTTGCTGCTGCTCCTTTCTGGGATGAGAGGAGATACAGAAACCATTATAAATGCAAAATGTTCGTGAATGATGAGAAAGAGAAAGTTTTCTTTGTTCACTTTTTATCAACACCAATTCAAACTTCAATATTCAAAAAGTTCAAACACTGGCTCAAACAGCCACATCAGTGAGACTGAATTGTTCTAATTTCAGAAACTGTTCCATTCAGAAAACTGTTCAGTTTTGTGGTCTAGGGACCAGCCAAAAAAACATTTCAGCTCTTGTTACTCAATACATGTACATGCATACCCGTACATGTATGGCGTGCAAACATACATGAACCTGTACTATTCCCACACACTAATATTTTTGAATTTTTAAACCATAAATACCAGTTTTATGTAAGTTGTAGATAATCCAAGTAGGAATAAAACAGAACTGAAAACAGTAGGGAATCTACATGTACATGCAAGTGGAAAAAAACAGAATGAATTGAAAACAGTTCAAATAAACTGCATGATTAAGCCACTCCTGTGATTTAATTACAACACAGCTCTGCTTACTTGCTTTTTAATCTCTAACCTCCAACTCACATATCAGCTTCTACTGGAGCCATCTGGACGTGTTTATTATCAATGGTTTTAGGTTACTCTGCTGAACAAGGCCTAAAACTAAGTCTCTGTTATTCAAGCGGAACTCAAGTGAGCTGTGCTTAGTGACGTATACATTGCAATAGCAGATACTGACAAGTCTGGTTATTAATGGCCACGCAGAGTCATTTATAAACACAGATAATATGCTGTCTTTTGTTCGATGCCTGCCTTGGCCATTGAATTTCGATTAAGGTTCAAGTATTTCTGAACTAAAAAAATATAAATCTGTTGGCATTATCTGCTGGTACATGTACATGTACACCTACTAACAAAACTGGATTGCGTTTGACAAATCACTGGTTAACAGAATTTGGAATGAAAAATACCTGTAGCTTTCAACATGTTCAAATAATATTTTTTTAATATTTTTCTTTCTGAGGAGAATGCATACAAGGCATACATGTGAACCACTTACATGTAAATACCAAAAATATACCCATATGGTCCCAAACAGTCCGAACCAAATCAACTGGGCTTCACAGCTCAAACTCCATGTGATAAACCAAAACACTGTCATTTGAAATTGTGTATTTGAGTCGAGCCATATACAAAAGTATCTGATTACAGACTAATGTTTGTAACTAGGGAGAGGGGATTGTAACTAGGCAACACTAGCAACTACCGGTTTATGTTAGCAACAGCAAACCAATTAAAACAGAGTCAGATGGCATGAGCGGCATTAATTTCCAACCACAAAATAAAACTTCATGCGGTTACAAAAATACACAAAGGATCTTGATTTTGCAACGGTTTAAATAACAAGCAGTGCACCTGTGCCAATGACAAACTGGACAAAAGGGCAATTACTGTGATTAATCACGGCAACGGCCTGTGACAATTAAGAGAACACATGGTGATGCCAGGGTATTTCTGCAATTCCTGCACTCGAGAAACGGAAAAAATGATGTCTATCGAATGCCTTAGTAATGCATGTAGGTGTGATTCTCTGCTGAAAGGGAGTTTAAAACTCAAAAGCATATGAGTAATTATGAAAGCTGTACAATTTCTCTTTGGCAATGTGCCAAACCTGTCTGTTTTGATGGACTGAACCACAACACCTGTACATTACATGTACATGTACAAGAGACACATACTGGGCAGTAGCACTACAGTCCCTGACAGGAGTCCACATATTAGGCAACAAGAAAAGAAAACAAACAAACTCTGTGTCTTACGCTAGACCCATGGCCTGCTGGAGCCGCTCCCGCGCCCATTCCAGAACGGTCCGCTGCTCAAACTCTTTCTCCGTCTCCTCCTTCTCAAGGATCCAGCCCTTCTCCTCGCACACCTTGGACGACATGGAGAAGCTAATGACCTGTAGGAAGTTGGGCTGGTGCACAACTGTTCACAGAGAAGGAAAAACAAAAGAGAATGAGTTCCTTTAGTTAAGTGGGGATGCTTCACATGCATATACATGTAGGGGCCAGAAATTCACATACATGTACCTGTACATAGATGTCACAGAGCAGAAAACTTGGCAAACAAGTGGTCAGCCAATTTTTCATCAACTCTGTTTAAAAGTGAGAGCAAGCACTTGGACAAAAGCCTTCTTGCCTCTGTGAAAGTTGAAAATTATCCACTCCTGAATATTTCACTGAATTTTGAACAGTGAAAATAAAAACCACAAAGCACCTACCGGTACATGTCATGATCACATGTGCGTGTAAACAAGGTGGACGGTCATTCAAAAAAAGGGGATACAATTAAGGGTAATTAAACTTTTTTTTTCGGCAGCATGAATAATCCTGAAATCTTTGGACTTGAGCTACTAATGCTCACAGAATTCTTCTTTCCAACAAATCATCAGACGACAGAACTGTTATTTCAGAAAGAAAAGAAACCACTAGCTGGAATTTCTTGTGACCAGTTTAATTTGACAGCAAACTGTCACCAAATAATTTTTTTGAGAGAAATGAATGCTGAAAGCCTTAAATAAACTATATTTCTGAGCAGGAACTGTAGCAAGTGAAAACAGTGTTAATTTGAGGGTGCGTTTTACTAGACGGTTTGTCAATATTTGTGTTGGGCTACACACTATTAACTGCCTTTTGAAGTGATTTAATATTGACACTGTGCAAGCAGCCTGTAGATGCTTCAGCATGTTAATTACAGACAGCAGGGGAATAATCAGATGTCTGGTCATCAACACCTTGCAGATAGATCGAGCCTGGTACGGCGCCTCTACAGCTGTGTTGAAAACATGCGCTATGTCACAATCAATTCTGTTTAACATGTTTAATACTCTGTGCACTGTAAAACAGTGTCCGCCACTGGTGACAACGAACGACAACTTGGCAATGCCACGACTTGGTGGAGCTGGAATGAAGGCTACATGTATTACAAACAAAATTTCTTGAAATCCCCTCCAAAAAAACAAGAAGCCAACAGGCATCTACTGTACATACCAGGATTAAATTGAAACATTTAAAATGAGTTTGTAAGGATAGCTGGGCATACCTTCTGAGGGGGCTTCTCCAACTGCGGTGCCTGCATCGCCTCCCACCTTACCTACGACTGACAAGCGATGGTTGGAGGTGCTCGTAGATGCCCTTCTGTCAACTAGGGAACATAAAAAAATTAACACGCTCAAAGTTTTCTCGCAATTGATGCATTCATTCCAATTCATGTCCCACAGACTTATTTTTAGACTGATGTGTATATGAACTTGTACCTTGCATACGGCGTGCTGTTTCACAAGGTATTTTTTTTACATCGTGAAAGCCACGACTACATTGTAGAACAATCCATTTCAAATGTAATAATGGTCACAGATAATATGTGCATGTAAAAGGGAAACGATCCTGCAGAATCTGTTTCTATATGTAATTGTATCATGATAATCACGGGTATTGTGCACACCGCATAAATTAAAATTCCATACTTGACCAGTTTTGGAGATCCCACTTTTTCATTGTTTTACCAACATTCAACTACAACAGCAACCAACAACTATCATTTACCCTTTTATTTTTTGGGAGGGAGAATTACATGTAATTAAATCAATGCACGAATTCCTGTAAATATCTGATAAAGCATGCACAATCTGTTTAAGTGGTTGTTAAGAGGGAACCCATAAAGTCTCCACTTAAACTCGGTTGATATTTTCCTAACATTAACAATAAGCCCATTCTTCAACAACTTGCATCCATCGATGGCACACAGTTGCACAAGTGTAAAGACTTAGAAACCAGTCATATCACTTTTGTCACCGGTGACGATCAAGCAACTTCCTCTTGGAAAGTGATGACAATATTAACTTTGCAGGAGGAAGTTACCACAATGGGAATTTGTGCCCATGAATATTGTAACGTAACGTACACAAATTAGTTTTGAGATGCATAATTTTGGTCTTGAATAAAAAGGAGAATGAAATGTTCAGTATTCATGGTATTTAAAAATATATGTACATATGCAGAAAATTCAGGGACTCCAAATGATTTGGAAAGAAATCAACTGCATTGAAAATTGGAACTCAGATGTACATGTACATGCACATACATGTAGCTTCAGTTGGCATACATGCAGCTCCTGAGGCTTAATAACGAGTTCCTCTATCAAGGTACATGTAATAATTACGCCTTCAATACCTACATGTCGAACAGCCCTGAATCCCCTTTCAGAGAACATGGAGGATTATTAAAGGAGCATAGGTGAGAGTTATCAGGGAACCTGAGTAACTTGTAGCCTACATGTACGTACCTTTGCCCTTTTCTGTCTTAGCTTTGATTCGTTGAGATGAGCTCATTGCTACACTGCTGGCACCCCCTTGTGCATCCCTCACACTCCCTAGGGCGCTGTCCATCACTGAATGAGACCCCGCCCTGCCCTCCTCCTCCCCTTCCTCCACTTTCTTCTTCCGTCGTTTCTTTTTCTCTCCCTTGTCCCCCTCTTTGCCATTCTCGTCCGGGGGTTGGTCTCCCTCTGACTGCTTCTTAGCCCCACCCTCTCCTTCCTTGGCATCCTCCCGGGGGACGTTCTCAGGGCACTGCCACTCATAGCGTGTGTACTGGACCTCGGCCGTGAGGTCACGGTAACTGCTCTGGAGGTAGTTCACCAACTCCCTCGGGAGGTCCAGCTGCTCGTTCTCAAAGAGGTAGAGGATTTTAGTCAATTGGACAAGGAGTGTTGGGGCAGCCACCACGGCCTCGTGGTACATCTGCCGCTGGGAGTACTCTCCCTCGTCGAGGCTGTCCAGGCTGCCCCGCCGGGCGTGGCCATGCTTGAGGAGGCCATCCGCCCCCCTGTCATCTTCCGCATCTTGCCCCTCCTCCCCGCCTTCCCCCTCGAGGGCTTTCTTGTTCTTCTGCCTCTCCTGGCTGGACAAGAATGCAGCCAGGCGGGGGTTGAGGTTGGCAAAGCGTAAGCTGCGTGGAAGCTCATCCGGGTGTTTCCGTCTGCGCTTCTTACGCTTCAGCATGATCTTCTGATCAAAGAAGAACACCTGTGATGAATAGAAAGCCATCTTCACTTGGTGGTGTGGGCTACTTGGCTCTCTTCTGGAAACCTAGGAGAAAAATCACAAGATGGAACTTTCAACTTTGTGTCAAATTACAATAACTTGCGAAGCATCATAGACGTACATTTACATGTACATGGACTCAGTCATATAATTTTACAAGCTTCTCTACAATTTCATTGTACCATTGTCAAACTAGGTTAGGGCCGCATCAATTTGAATAATTCACTATTTGACCTTCAATTTGATCGAATATCCAAATATTCGGTTGTACCAACCGGCAGATTGTTGATGAACAAACCATATACCATGTATACAAAATCAGTTGCAATAATGCACACAATTGTCTATTATGATCAATATAATAGCTTCTCACATCTAGGAGTACATGTATCTCCAGCCACGATTTAGCAATATTTAAGAGAAGAACAAGACTTCTTGCCCTGTTGAAAATTTCTATTCCTTTTAAATTGTTTAATGAATACATACATGTACATGTCATTTACTTTTTAAATCGCTGTAAGATTCTGATGCTTTTCATTTGAATCTGCTTGAAACAGCCTCTATAATGCATTTTTCTCATTTAAAACAAACATGACAGAAGAAAATTTTCCCTTCCTTTTCATGAATTTTGCATTCGAATATTCAAATTTGAAAAATAATATTTGAATATTCCACAACCAATTAAATCTTCGGTTATGTGGATATTGGGCAAGGCCCTTTGTCAGACTGTACTCTCCTGCCATATTTGAATACCAGCCCCTGAAGCTCTCAAACTTTACAAGAGAAACTGAGCCAAGTCATCACTCTACCTTAGGGTATGGTGAACTGAACTCTATGAGCTGGTGTGCATGCATGAAATACACATTTGCAAATGATAGTAACACTAAAAATCAGATGTGACCTCATCGTGTTAAGCAAAATGTGCGGACACTTCTTATGAGGGTGTCTTACTTACTGTCTCTTTGGTTCAGTGAAATGAAATCTCAAGTACATGTACATGCGGTAATTAGGATTGTGACAAGTGCCCAACTCCCGATTCATACATACATGTACATGTACATCTGCAAGAAGAGATTAAGCCACAGCAAGATCAAGTCAAGCCCTCGTGGCACGAATACTACCAAAAATTTGATGAAGAAACACTGACTGAGGAGAAAAAACCTTGTGTCTTCTTTGAGAACACTTAGACTTATTCTTTCACAACCTTTGCCTTTAAGGTTTTGTGCAAGAGGTGTGGTAGGATTATGGAAGTTATCTTTCTTTCCATATTTCTCAAAACCATGTATAAATGTAGCCTTCCCAGTCCCATTTCTACATTACTGTGAGTCTGAGTATGATAGGTTTTAGGTCATAAGATACAAAACAAGTTAAATTTCAATGAGCTTACTTTTTAGATGTTGATTTTTCAGATAAGAGTCTAGGGGAAATTCCCTCACATAAAAAAAACAGAAAGTCAAAGTCAAGAGTTTATTGTGAACGGGTTTTTATAGGGACCTACATGAATTTACATGAGGCCCACCATACATACATGTATGTAGTTCTATTGATAAGATTATCAAATCTAATTAACTACATGTGCATGTTTGTTCAACAGTCCTCATCAGATCCTGCATGTCCTGCTTGGGAATGATTTAACCCTGTTAACCCAACATACATGTAAGGCCTGATTAAGTGGTTTGCTTGGCAAAGTATGAAATCACAGCAAACAATCCATTCTTGAGCTGAGGACTTTCTTTTTTATACGATTTGATTTATTCACTTCTCCATAATGCAATCACATGTGATACATGTACAAAAGTGGAACACTGACAGAAAAGAAAAAAACAACAGTCATTGGGAAAAGCAGGAATAAACACAAAAGGATTGGAAAAACTGCCTGGTCCCAAACCATTACCCTAAACTTAGGTCCAATGAACAAACATACGTAATCATGACAATAGTTTAATAATAAAGAGGAAGAAAATGTGTATGTGTCTACAGTTTAAAACGACCCAATACTTAGCGATTTCAAGTGTTCATGAATTTTAAACGTTGTGAATACAATAGAGGTCTACCATTATGACCATTGTGACCATGCTTACCTGTCACTCATGTCGGTTTGTCATGTCAGAGTCTGAGGTTTTCATCATCAATGTTCTGCCACAATTATCTGCTTTTCTTCATGTTCTTGATGCGATTTACTCGCATTTAATTCAAACATCACGTAAAATACCACAAGGCCTGATGGCAGGTAAGCTAACTTCGCACACTGCATTTATACAGTACATTGTAACTTCTGTATCTTAAATAGGCTATCCCTGAACCCGAGCTGCTCGAGTTCAATCAATTAGTTTCGTATACTTTGTAAGGAGCACGGTTGATTGCACACACATTGGAGTAAGTTGCCATGCAACTAACTCAATACTGTATTTCTATTAAATGTCGTGTAGTTCGGTGTGATAAACTATTTCTACAGAGGGCGCTATATCGAGGCCTCTCCTATCCTCAAGCAGACATGGCTGCGGACAATCAGACACTGAGAGGGAGGCTCGCCTCGTTTGCCACAGATTTGTATAAGAATCCTTTCAAAAGGTATATTTTGGTATGAAAACTGTTTTGTTACATCCATTTGCCAAGCGAAGGGGTAAAATTGGACAGAATGTTGCATCTTGCCTCCACAATTTTCATTAAATAGGCATAGACCCTTCGGCCAACTTATACTTCTTGTCAACATGTTCGAGAACCCACCCCGTCATGCCCGTTGCCTACATGTACATACAGTGCCGGGGTCCGGACAACTCGACCGTCCGTGTGTAAAAGGGAGAGACAACTCGACCGTTGAGACAAGTCGTCCGTTGAGCATGTTGAGACATGGACATGATGGAGGAAGGGCACAAACATTTGTTTGTGTCCTTCCTTCCTCCATGGTTGAGACAATTCGTCCGTTGAGACATGTCATTTGTTGGGACACTGCACGCTCAGCCCAGTCGTCTACTAAGGCCACGGTGGAAAATAACATACATGTATGCCTTAAGGGTGGAATTTCATGTAGTAGATAGACAAGCTTAATTTTGGAGGTACTTATAAAAATGGTGGCTCTAGTAAGTCATTCTTTGCACAATCAACTGATCTTGCACCCGCGCTGCACGTATGTACGGCCCGTATGCATTACAGTCCTAGCTTAACCTACCTACTTGGTGTTGTCCTTCAGTTCTGCATTCTCAGACAGAATTTGGTTTAAAGTGAAATGTAAACTTCTTCTACTTCTTGAACACAACTTGCTCTCGGAAAATTTTGGCCAGAATTCTTATTTGCACTTTCCAAATCTTGGAACGGTAGCGGGAAAAAAATGACGAATAGTCTAGGGCGATATGTCACTCACTGCGAGTGATTCCAAATCCTTTTTGTTCTTACTCAACAGTCATATAAACTCTTGCATCTAATGTCTATTTAATCAAAATGATCTTCAAAGTGGCGTTTTATTAAAACTGGCCGAAAACTGAACGCATATTGTTTCCTAGTTTTTTGGTCAAGCATTAAGTGCATGCACGAAATATACTTTGCGAACTCATCTTGCTATACCGACATTGCAGAAATGTATGTGATATAATGAGTTCATCAGCTGTGCAGCACGATGTAGTATCGTTGATGGCTCGTGCTGTGCAGCTGAAAAAGTTGAGTCGAAATTTACACAAGATTTAATTTTCTAAAAATTGATTGGAATTCTTATTTATGAACCAACTTTTCTAATTGAGGAATTTTTCATTAGACAATAAGCTTTTTACAATGGTTCTGGCTGGAAATAGATTTGCCGCTCGCGTGGTTACTTTCTGGAAACGGATCCAGAGCGAGAAAAAGTGTCACCACTCTTTCGTCGATCCTGTATGTCTGAATTAAAAGTTAAAAATTTGAAACTGATTTAATGGTAACCGTGGTATCTCTATCACACAAGGTGGACGGTGACCACAGTTCACTGGAATTAGAGGATTTTTGTAGAGCTGCAATCTGACTGTATAATTTCGCTATCTTGAACTGGGAAAATGACTGTATTATGTGAGAGATCTCACTGGTCGAGTTATCTCTCTGTCAAAGTCGAGTTGTCCTTAGGGACGACTTGGCAAACGGTCAAGTTGTCTCAACGGTAGAGTTGTCCGAAGTCAAGTTGGCAAACGGTCGAGTTGTCCGACATCCCCTTCAGTAACCGGTCACTTCGGCACCTTGCCAGCTTGGCACCTGTACACAAACCAACATGGTACCTTGCCAACACGGTACCTCTCAAACTCGGCAACTACACGGATGGAACGTACGCGGTACGTGGTTGATAGAGTAAGACTAAGAGAATGAGGTACAGGAACATCGCACTAACCAACTAGCCCATTGTTTAGAGATTTTATTTTTATATTAATGGAATCTACACCTCCAAGTCTTTTGACAAAAAAGTTTCTCAAATACATGTAGCTGCTTTCTCAAATAAGTCTTTTTTTTTGAGTGGGTGCCTAGTCCACCACTGTCTTACTTTAGCTCTCCTGGTTAGCATAACTGGCCAGGCCCAGCCGGCATGGATCACCCCGCCCACCCATAAGCTGTGACCAGTCGCTAGCGTTGCATGCACAGCGGGCTGGGCCATGTATTTGCAGAGTAGTAGGAGTATCTAGTCGGGCCTAGTAGCTGCTCGGCTTGTGGGTTAGGTCAGGTCTGCCAGGGGGGCCGGGGACACGGGCAACTTCGATAACGAGCTTTTACTGAATTAAGATAAAGCAAGGATTATTTTTCTCTTTTTAAAATTAACATCAGACTTAGATTTCAAAATGGGTTTCCTTCAATCTTCCCTTTTTCATAAGAAACTCGTTTCTTTATGAATTTCTTTGTTGAACTAATTGGTTACCACAATCCACGCGGATTACCCAATCTCCAAATCAACCAAAATTAGCTAAGCACCTGTATGGAATTAGAACCAATTGATTCGGTTCAAGTGCCGAGTCGGTCAGGTGCCGAATTGGACAACGCAGACCGAAGGTAAAATTGGAGGTGCCGAGTTGGCTAGGTGCCAACTGGGTGACATGCCGAAGTGACCGACATTCTTGCCTACATTCTTGCCTACTCCGGGCGTCATGGGTGTCGATCACTTCGCCCTGTTTCCACTTCGCCCCTAATCACTGTACTTCGCCCCATTCCCACTTTGCCCCATTTCCACTACGACTGATTTGGCTGGGTACCCAAACCGTTGACATTTTTACCTGTTGCATAAGCCTCTCTGAAAGCTAAAAGAAAAGAAACGATAATCAGTGGGGTGTAGTGGAAATGAGGCAAATTGGAAATGGGGATGTCAATATTCTGACATCCTGCACGTAATTGTCACTAGTGCTGTGCACGTCTATCATTTCTGTGCTCCTGAGGGATATTGTAGGAACCTCCGCTGGGGACTCGGGCTTGTGTTTACAGTACAGCTGTCCTCAAAAATAAGAAACGTTTCCAGGATTTTTTAACTGATATCACTGTAACAAAATCAAACACGCAGCCGCAAATTTCAAGCACTGACATGCACGTATATTAGCGAATCCCATGTGATCATGACGCCAACCAGGATAAAGAACCAGCAAGAGGTGTGGTACAAGTCAGACTAAGTACATGTATTCCATGTCTTGTGGCCCTTCATTTGTAGGCAATTTATAAAGAATGCTGTCCTCTTTGGTGTGGGTGTGTGGCTAGCCAGGGAGTTTGCTGACATAGATGTTACGGGACCAGCAGTTCCTGCGTCGTGATGCAGTCACGCAAGAAGTTTAGACAGGTAAAGCACTATGCAAGCCAGCAGCTGATTTCATCCCCCTGTGCCCACTTCTGTGGTGCTGCTAAACAGATGATTTCTGTTGGCTATACATGTACGTTGCACGTTGTCCATGTTCAGTTGATCTTTGTACCATCTGTCCATTTCAACTTCATGAGATTGCATCGCTCTGACCCACAGTTACTGAAGAATGTCTCCCAAAAGGAAAGTGGGGTTTGAGATTTCACTCAGGATCGACGGAGAGTGCAATGCAATTGTGCTGATTGACCGATCGTGCCCAGCATATACTATTTGTGTTTGCCGAGCTCGTTCATGATGCATGTAAACGTATGCAAAGACTGCAAACCCTGTTTCAATTGAAAACATAGGGAGCACAACTTTATCTTTGTGGAGCGTGCGCTGTGTATAAGAAAAGTTTTTAAGCATGCCTAAGTCAAACTTTTTAACTTCTTGCCTTGAAATTCTTACCTCCTTCCAAAAAGATAGGCCTAATCACTGACTTCAGTTACATGAAGACCAAGTTAATGATATTTGCCAAAAGTTACTTATTCTGTTTTTATATTGGCAGCCATTTGGCCATCATTTAGCAATCCAGCCGGAGTTAATCCCCATAATTCGAATCACCAACCAAGAACGTGCATGACCCCAGCTTACTACCAGCTGACGAGACTAAAGAACCAGAGAGAGCAAGGGTATGTTCAGCAGTCATTATGGGCAGACGTGTCAGATACGCCAGCCGAACTCCCAACATGACCGATACCACACCAATGCCATATTTATCGTGTAGCACACCATGGATGTGCACGGATGAGCCCAAGACAAGCTAGGTGAGCTGCAACTGTGATTCAGGGCTCGGATTTTACAAAACTGGAAGGAGGACTCTCGTAGTACTTGGAGGCACCACACCACAGGCCCTATCAAAGGACACCTGTACTACTTTTCCTATGTTGGTCCAAGTTGGTATTGGCTGGAGGTATTTTTCTTCACTGTCTTCTGTATATACCCGGGAGGGGGGAATTTAGTGCTATTTGTATTCGAATTAAGCAGGGGTGCGCTCTATACTTCCTTGAATTTGTGAGATGAAATGGCCATTTTAGTTTGCATTTTTTTATCAAAGTTTCCAAAATTGTAAATTATTGTTTCTGGCTTTTGACAGAGGTACATGTAAGGACACCAACACTAAAATAAAAAAAAAAATCACATACACCAATAGAAGGCCAATTTATTTTGGAACACTTGGTTCTCTTTGATGTGTTGACCATTTGAGAATGCTCAGACCGTAAAATCTGTACCAGGTTTCTCTCTAAGGGGAAGTTAGATCGGCATTTGTCGGCCACCGGTCGATCTTCCTGGAATCCAGAATGCACTCGTATTGTGTGCACAGGTTACCAGGGAAATCAACCGGTGGTCAACAAATAGTCGCTTGAGGTTTTGTGCGTAATCAATCGATATCAAACTGTAAACGGATGGTATTTTGAAGAGAAAGCAAGTTTGCTTTTACTCAGGTCAGTTTTCTTGGGCGCTTCGTTTTGGTTCTGTTTTTAAATGTCATTTCAACCATGCTAACATACAGTAAAAAACAATTGTTCTGCCCTTCATCACCATGCTTTTTACTGGCATTTACAGGACTGAGGCCAATTATATGGCAGGATTTACCAACTTCGTGTACATGTACCACTTGTATGTGCAGTGTCATTGTTTCAAATTCTTCTTGTTAATAAACTGAGCCATTGGTCATGGAATTTAATCAGCGACAATGCAAAATTGGAAATGTGTTTGTTTACTGAATTCACAATACCAAATTTAAAACAAAGAGAAAAGTGTAAGGGAACATCTAAAAAGTTCAGATATTCCACCGGAGCAATCCTTCTGGCAACACCACAAGATTCTGTTGGGAACTTGCTTTCGTTCCTAATAGGACTGCAATAAGCATGTTTTTCCTCTTTTTTTTAAGCCCAAAAATTCTGTAGTGTTCAGTTCAAGACCCTTGTTGCCACAACCCTGCATTCCTGTACATGGAAAAGAAGAAACAAAAATGCTAAAAATCGGGGGGGAACAGTGAGCTTTATTCAGGTTCAGAAATCGGTTACTGGATACGGCTGTAAAACTGTGCAAGCAGTCTATACGCTTTTAAACCCTTAGGTTTTTTAATATAAGATGTGTTCATTATCTTGCATTGATAGACCCATGGCTTTCAAAATCAACTCCTTTTGGAGGCAATGGTTTGGAGAACATCGTGGCTTTGTTCGAGCTCTCACTGGGTAGAGTTCATCTGAATACTGAGACGGATCAATACTTTGGCATGCCCATGACTCGTGGGCACTGTATACATTGGCATCGATACAATGTAAGGGCAGCAGATATCCCACAATGCTCTGTGTTTCTGTAACTTTGACTTCCTTCACAAAATTCTGTGAGAGGTATTAGCTCAATTCATTGCCCAGTAAGGCTCTCAATGCGCAAGCAAAGTCATTGTCTGCAGTGTAATGAGAATCAGAGCCAATGAATCAAAAAACATGATTGCTGCTGTTCACCAGACGGCCACGTGAAGTTACTCAGGTCATGCGTGCATGTAAGTGCTGCATTCACTCAATTACTCGCAAGCTGCAGTAGGTTTGCCCACCATCATGCACACCACTGCGAGGAACATCCTCTCCCATTTGTTTAACGGGTCCATACTCTTGGAATTAATCTACAGCAGGACACGGATGTGCACTTTTGTGACCATGCCTCAGCCACATTCCTACATGGCAGGGTTCACTGTGGCGATTTTTGGAGGGCTTTGATGATGACGAGCTGAGGGCTTATTCCCTTCACCTCCCGGCTGATCCCTTCTTGAAGTTATTGAAGTGCTCCAGGTACTGCACCATGGTGTCAATGGGAGTGACGGGCATGTCCTGCTTGGACAGGAGGGTCGTAGGCAAGCTGGGCGACTGGTTGCCCATGAAGCTCTGCATGAATTCGTGCAGAAGGTTCCAGCAGTCTGGTACCACAATGCATGGGGTGTACTCCACCTGTCATAACCAAGATTTGATTGACTTGTCAAATGACCCGCAACAGGGGAACCGACTACGGTTGCTCTGTCAATGCAAGTTTGAACAAAGAAACTGGAGTAGTGTTACTGGCCCTGAACTGAACCAAGAAAGGGCAAAACTTTCCTAGCAATGGAGGCTCCTTTGGTAGTAATGGCACAAGGCTGGTTCATAAATGACTAAGAAACGCAAGTGTTGCATTGCTACCAACAAAATACACTCCCTACCAACACAGCTCTTTTCAACCAATGAGGGGGTGCTTCTGCTCAGAGCGAACAGTCAGCAGGTACATGCAGCTGGTGAATAGTGTTGATTAATATTTGTCAACGACAACACAAAATTTGTTTGACTGAGGTTCCTTTAATGCTATTTTTGTCCATTACTTTTGGATCACGGATCATTTGGGGGAGAGGGAGGGTGGAGAAATTAAGTTTATGGGTAATAAGTCTGAAGGTCTCCGAAGCTACCACTAGACCAGGTATTTCCCCCCGGGAGGTCTTTAATCATCAATTGGATCAAGTCAATAACTAACTTCAGAGTGGTGAGTTTACCTCTACAAGTATCCCCTTGGTGTGTGGACCGATGGACACAATGCCAATCTTGACCAGAAAGTCCCCCAGCTCAAACCGTTGACCCTTGGACTCCACGCGGGCTGACTTCCTGGGAGTGTAGAATCCTGAAAGCGGAGGCAGTTGCGGTTAACAAATGAGTCGGTATGCACGTAAGTGGCATTACGCCGGGCACCGGTATACACGTATTGAAGACTGCGAGTGGCAAAATCCAGGAGCAGTTTGACAGTTTCGATAACCCCAAAGTGTTGCAGATTTGGGCACTTGTATTCCAAAATGAAAAAAAAAAAGACTTTTTACACATTACCACAGATGAGAAAACAAAGCATATTTGTTGCATGTACATACCATGCATTTTATATTCAAACAATATAATCTGCTTTGAGCAAACTGGGGACAATGACCATATCGCAGTTGACAGTACTTTTTGTTGTAGTACGGAGCAGGGCCATGAGCCCATTGCAACCAGACTTGCAAAAAAGCATCAAGTTCCTGTAAAAACATATACACCTACACAAGACCAATGTAAACGTAATGTGCATTTTAAGTGCAGTTCATTTCTGCATGTGTGTATACATACGTTGCGGAGAGTGCTCACTGAGGACTGAAATACATTAAATAGATGCAGACCACAAAAAATACTTGTGGAAAGATGGCCTTACGCCATCTTGTCAAATATCTATGAAGAGCAGCTTACGAACTTCTTGAGCCTAATCCACCCCCCTCATTTTTTTTTCACAAGTCGAGCCTTTAGGAGTTTTTTCAGTAACTCTCTGTGGTAATTTTGAAAGCCCTTTAGTGAATCAAGCCTACCATTCTCACGCAGCAGCCATTTTCCAAGACTGGTCAGCCTAAACTGCTATGCTCAAAGCAAAGGGGCTAGCATAAATGTGGTCTTCAGCAAAACCGTACGATTGAGTTGAAACTTCATGAAAAGTTCCTTTGCGTGCACGGTAAGTGATAGATAAAAAAATGGGTATGGGATAGCAGAGGGCTAAGGGAATCTGCACCCCCCCCCCTGAGGTTGTGCCGAATATCCCAAATAACCAACTATTCAACCAATTATCGAATATTCGAATGCTATTTTCCGAACATTTGCTTTTGTTTTAAAGAAGACAAATTGCACTGCAGAGGCTTGTTTCAAGCAGATTCAAATAAAAAGCAACGGAAATCTTACAATTCAAAAAGGAAATTATTCATTAAGCAATTTAAAAGGAACAGAGATATTCACGAAGGCATGTTTTAAATCTTGCTATATAGTGGCTGGAGATACTCCTAGACATGAAAAGCTATTGTATTGATTATAACGTACAATTGTGAGCATTATTGCAACTGATTTTGTATATGGTTTGTCCATCAGCAATCTGCCGGTTGATATGACCGAATGTTCAGATAGTCTATCAAATCAAAGGTCGAATATTTGAATAGTGAATGATTTGAATTGACTCAGCCCTCTCCCTGACCCCACCCCCAGTGTGAATGTCCAAAATAACCAAGCTCTTTTAGGGTTAAGCAGTCTTCTCCATTACATGCTACTCTGGTCACCAAATAACCCCATCATTTACATTAGGATGCCCAACTGAGTAATGCATCAAAACAAGGACAGCTCTCGGTTTGCTCCTCCTGATGGCAATAACAACACAAATTGCCTAACCTTACTTTAATTACTCATTTTGTGCGATCTGGTCACAAATTCCAACAACATTGATCAATACCGTGCCTTTGCCAACAGACTCACCTTTGAGCTTTTGCATGATACCCTCAAACTGACCGTCGGTAATAAGACATGCCCCAGTGTCTGTGATACCAAAACACGTAAGCGGTTGCTCACTGTTATGCATCAGATGCACTAACTTGGTAGAATCTGTATTGATAAGTGAAAAAGGGAGCAGGTGAAAGCATTCAATTAACAGAGGAAAGCAGAAAAGAGTTCTTACATGAAGAACAAGTTGTTTAAAGAAAGTTTCTCCTCAATTTTATTTCAGAGAGGAGGCCACCCTGTTTTTTCTAAGATGACATGCTTTTCCTTGACTACTACACTGATACATGTATAAGTCCTGTGGTTTCTAAATAAGAGGAGTTTTCATCAGAATCACTATGGAGACAGGGACTTCCCCACACAAAAGAAGTTGCCAGCTTTGTACCAGTACTGGTTTGGAAAAAGGCAAAACTAAAAATTCAAAGGCAGGGAAGGCTAGCATTATAGGCTCATCAACTTTACTGACTGATCGTTTGCGTAGACTGGTACGTTTCGCAGTCCACGCAGAAGTTGCCAGCCTTGACAGCTCCCAGGACCTCGATCCGTCTGGTCAGCATCTCAACAGTCTGCTGCACGGTCCTGCTCTCCGTCACTGGCCACTGGCAAACGCTGTGGCAAAACAGGACCGTGATAGTCATCAATCAATCCTGGACATGACAGAATGGGCCCTGATTCTGCGAAGTCAAACAACGGACAATGGACCGACTTGCACATGGGTAACGTTCGGTGGCGTATCCAGGGGGGGGGCAAAAATTTCCCCCAACAATTTTTTTTTAAAGAATAGGGCTTTCATAGGTGAGTATGAAAAAGAACTTGGTAAATTTATCAAATAAATAGGCTTACATGTAGGCTTTTGATAGTTTTCCCCCAAAGCCGCATTGGCTTTTAAATCCCCCAAAGGCAACTGACACCAAAGGCTGCATAGGCCTATGCCACTACGTCAGGCCTTGTGCGACTGGGTAACAAGGCCCAGTGCATGTACTTTGTACCATAAGCTAGCCATTGACAATTTGTAGGACCAGAACTGATCCATTAGTTAAATACATGTAGTTGGGCACAATTGCAGAATATCCCACCAATCACCTTGCCCACCCGTAGCCACGGATACGGAGACGCACTTCCATCCACATGGCCCACTTGATATCTCCGTATCTGCGTAGCCGCTCCCCAGGACCCACACTCATGACATTGGACTTAGTATATTCTTCCGCCCTCCCCATTCACTTTGCGTTGCACGATGCACAAGATCCAGGTGCTTCGTATCCCTGTATCTGCGTAGCTGCTCCCCGGGACCCACACTGGACTTACAAAATTCTTCTGCCTTCCCCATTCACTTTGCGTTGCAGGACACACAAGACCCACTTCGTATCCCGTTTCTATCTGCGTAGCCGCTCCCCGGGACCCACATTGGACTTAGAAAAATTTTAGTTTTCCCCTAGCATGCCTAGTGAATGTAAATTCGAGTGAGTGCTTCATTCTCAAACATAACGTCAATACTGTACACCACAAATACATGTACCTTGACGCAGCAAGGATAACCCGGAAGTTGAACCACCTCAACTCGACAACGTAGCCGTGGATTTTTAGGGGTATTTTTGCATGGCAGGGTATTCTGCAATTACTCCAGTAGTTGGGCTACCGCGGGTCGCGTAATATTGCGCATGCTCACATCTGTCATGTCACATATTATTAATATTATTAATAACAGTAACATTTTGGAAATTTAGGCCTATGACCAAATATTAAAAGAAGCAATTCGTAGAGTCCTACTTCCTATTGACCAAAAACAGTTGAAATCATGTGAAAGGGAATGCCACGAACCAATTCGCTGTCATTTGAGTTCTCAGCGGGAATAAAAATTCAAAACAACTCACCAAGTCACCCCCATCGCGTTCATAAGATCTGCTCTTTTGTGACTGGAGTGAACAGTGCCCTCTACAGTTCTCAGAAGAGTAAGAAGTGTTACGCCCCAATGTAGTAATAGACCCAACTACAGTTCGGTATCCCAATTACAGTTGGGATCACCCTAAATGCGTCGGCTGGCGTCGTGCACTTACATAATTGCAGTTGACAATGTTCAAAAAGTAAAACTGATTACCTTTTGATTTAATCTGTATTTTTGTCGGCAAGTAAATGAATTTTTGAGAAATCTTCGTCGAAAAAACTTTTCAAAAAGTCTTAAGCCTATGGAATGGCCATTTTGTACAGCAAGATGCCCACGTACTATTGTATAATACTACATCATACATGTATATAGCACCGGCGTAGCTCTGCTAAGATAGAGGGGTCAAGATGTTCCGTAGGGGGGGCAGTCCCCACCCAGTTTGCTACACAGATAAATTTCAATAATGGACTTTTCTTCCAATCCTTTTTAAAAAGGTCTATGCCCTATGGGTGTCAATCGGTGAGGGGGGGGTGTCATATCGTTGCCCACACACACACTTTCTCCGATCCCTAATTTAAAGAAATATAGGGAGAACATAACACTGTACAGGCCACGTTGAATTCATAGTTCAAGTTACCTGTTTAATGAATCCCAAATTTAAGAAAAAAGTTTTTAAATGTTGATTTACATACACCATTGAAGTGGTGCACCTAATGTCAGGAAACAGGACGCTTTCGATAAAATAGTTCATAATTACAACTCAACTCTTCCCTTAAATGAATAAAAACTAAACAATCTTGCAAGAGCAGCTGCTAAAAGATAGTTAAAGTGGTTAGAAATTGCGTAAGACTGCATCTCAGTGGAATCCAAAATTTTCCAAGGGCATAGCCTCGCACACGTGCTGTTAGGGCCACTTGCTTAGCATTCGCATTAGTTCTGATCAAGATTATGTCCCACCCCCCTTTTGAAAAGTAATTACGTCCCAAGTTATGCCCGCACTAAAATATCACAAGCCAAAGATAGCGTGGATCACCATCTCCCCTGGCGCACTGCAGGGGCCGGGAGGGCTGAGTTATCCCACGAGCGTCCTCCGGCCTACTACTACGCGGCCACTTTATGAGAACAACTTTGATGGCACATTCTTTCTAACCTTTGCATTCATGCACATTTGTAGTCCGATTCAGGACGTTAAATTTTTACGGTGTTTATTCCTCCATGATTTTACAAACCCTCCAGTTTAACGTCATGGGCTACGACCTGCCTGTACATACAGTAGGTACAGTTGGGATTTTCCAACTTCGGCCGACGGCGCAGTTGGGATAGTTTCAAATAATATTTGTTACGCGCCCAAGTGTAGTTGGGACAACTACCGTAATTGGGGTGTCAGAGCGACGCGGAGGGAAAACGTGGGAACAACGCTCGTCAACGCTTGTGAATTTGGTCTTATCAAGAAAGTTTTCAGATATACTTCTTCAACATGTCTGTAAGTCAGGGTGCTTTTATGCCAGTTGTGCATTCCTCGACGAGTAATTGATTTTTGTAACAGACGTGGCAAGAGTTAGACCTAGGAGGACATGTTGTTAAGATAACATTGAAGTCTTTTGTTAGCGTGTGTAATCATACTAGGCCAATACTGTAATCCTCCATAGGCCTAGTTACATAATTACCCCCCCCCCACTGTGGGGTACGACGTCCGCTCCTCTCCCAGGAGAAGTGGACGTCAAACCCCACAGTCATGACAGTTCTGGGGGTAGGGGCGTAGTAATACTGATTATTAGTGCGACTACTACATGTATGCGAACTACGTCACTACAATGCATACTACTTTGTACTAGCCTACTACTACTAGGCCAATGGAGGATTCTTATTCCTCCATGCTAGGCCATAGTCCTAGTAACTTGAACCCTACAAATCACCTTTTTTTAATATTTGGACATGGTTGGGCGATAGTAGGGTCCTAGTACCTTCCATCATGTCCATAGGCTTTTACTTCCATTGATTCATTTTACTCAAAATAGCTCGTACCCCGAATCAAAAATCTCCGAATTCACCACCTAAGTGGTCCTTAAACTGTCTAAAGTGCCTGGCTTAATAGGATCAAGCGAAAATCAGGGATTCCAATAAGGATGAGGTTTACTCAAATTGGGAAGAAAAGAGAGAGTTTCCTTTCAAATCTGAAACGGTCTTGTCATCAAGCTTGATGTCCCCATCTTTTTCAAATAGCGATTTGAACTGTATGTTAATGTCGTGGACAAAGTCACGGCGAGCCAACCTCTAGCGGGCCATTCATAAAAAGCATGCCTTGTCAGCACACGCAAATTGACAACTGATTCCTGAGTGCCATACATGTATGTCTGGTAGCTGTGATCACATCGAAACTGTACACCTGACACTGCGGCGCTCAGAAATCAGTTGTCAGTGCGTGCATGTAATTCTGAAGTTAAGGTAAAAAAATGCAATCATTTCCATAGGCCTACATGATGTTTCACCGGTGAATTTTCATGTAAAAAGCTAGTAAATATCATTTAAATAGTTTTTCCAAAGCTTTAGTCAATATGCCATCACAAAAATTGGAAAAACTTAAGAAACTTAGTGGAAAAAATTGGGTTCATTTTCCATCTTTGCATGAAAATGCCCTGTGGGTCATTCATGTCGGAGCAACACACCTTGTGACCTTAGGTCTTCCAATTTTGACGAAAAAATGCAGTGCTTGTTTTTGACGTGATCTCCTGTTCCATGTGGTCAGAGTGCAGATCACCCGAAATAGGCAATTTCAGCTTAAAACACCACCCTTTTAGTAATAATAAATTACAACTCTTGTCAGTTTTCATCAAACATACAAGTATGCACATACGGCATCAAAATAATGGGAATTGCATGCTCCAATCAACAGTTCTGTGAAAATGAAGTTTTGTAAAAAGTGGGTCACTATGACCTTTGACACATCACCTTGACTTTTCACCTCATTTTAAAAGTCAAATGTCATTTTGAAATGCCATTTTTTCCTTCTCTTTAAGAAACCATTTAAATCTTCCTGGGGTCCCTGCAACTGAACAAATTGTGGCTTTTTTTAACAGTTGGTAGGCTGCAAATACATGTACATGTATGTCAATTGACCGGAACACGAATACCGGTAGCCCTTACAAGGTATAATTATTATCAGTTCACAAAGTTACAAAAATTGTTCATAGCGTTATCAGGAAAATCTACTCAACACCTAATATGGGTGTTTCACAATAGTGCCCTCCAAGAGTTTGCAACGCGTTGGCCTGTCACAGTGCGCAAAATTTGTTGCCCTTTCCAAACATGCATGGGGTCGACAAATATCGCACATTGTGATTGGCCAACGCGTTGCAACCTCTTGGAGGCGCACTATTGTGAAATGCCTGTATTAGGTGTTGAGTGAAACTTGAGAGTGTAGATTGTGTAGATTTTCCTGACTGTAGAACTAATTTTGGGCCAGACTTTGATTTTTTTTTAACTGACTAAAATTTTGAAATCATGTTCATGAAAGAGATGCCTGTGTTAGTGGATGTTAACGTACATGTGTGTACAGGATTCCTGGCAACTGGGTTTCTCCTCTTATGGAAGAGATGCCAGTTGAATCCCTAAAATTCAATTAGATGTTTTCTTCAAAAAAGTTTGTCTAACTCACAGCAAATCTGAGTGGTCAGTTGATCTTCATTTGTTAACAGTTGGCTTACCTGTTACATGTACATGTAAGTGGCTTCTGGTGATGAACAACATTCATTGTACACGTACACATACATGTACATTGCCATCGTGACTGGAAATTATGCTTGATTTTATAAGTTTTTTGTGCCTTTCTATTCTTGGACAGGCCATGGGATTACCCCTCAACCCAAAGCCCTTCCTGAATGGGCTAACGGGCAAACCTGTCATGGTCAAACTCAAGTGGGGTATGGAATACAAAGGCTACCTCGTCTCTGTGGACGGCTACATGAACCTGCAGGTCAGACCGCTTTCTTCTTTGAATTTCCAACTGACCTAATGATATGCAAAGTACAGAGGAGGTCTCATAACCCTACCTCCTTCAGGCAGTGTTGATCAGCAGACTTTCCCACTAGTAGATCCCCTGTAATCTGCTGCTTTGCAAGAAGCCAGTGGGACGTTGTTTTGCACTTCTAAAGGTCATCACTTTAGCTCTAAACTTGCCCAAAAAACCATACATCTAATTCCTAAATTTTATAATGTATACGTGTATACCCTTTGTCTATAAGATGGACTTTTGACAATCGTAAAGGGTTTGGGTTGATAACCTCTGCAGATTTTTTTTTAATTGCTGGGACACTCAATCAATTTGAAGATTTGCAGCATCTTCCTTGATTTAAAAATGTTCAGTGTTTTTGGAGAAAGCAGTAAGGGTTTGCCCCTCACCTATGCCCTTTTATTTTCTCTTTTGTATTGCAGTTCATTTTTGTATTATGGAAATGGGAAATGTTTTACTGATGTCTCGACGTTGATTTGACACCGATTTTTATGAAAATTTGGAATATTATTTCAGTAAAATGCCCACTTTTTCAAGACAGGTCGGGCCCCCCCCCAAAAATGTGAACTTTTTCCATTGACGGTGAAACCGTGCAAAGTTGAACAAAAGATTGGTCATTGGACTGCTGAGTTCTAGCTGGGGGGTGGAATGGAATCTGTATCCCCCTGCTCGTATGGGATGCCATTTTCAAACTGCTCAGGGTGCGTGGTGTCCCTCAGCTTTGAAATGAGGACTGCGTTACTATGTCTTTCTTGTTAAAGCGGGTACTGTGCATCACTGCATCTCTTGTGGATTTGGTTGAATAGTTTACCTTACATGTACATGCATATCATGTGCCTGCATCAGTGTGCATGGAAAGACATCATCAGTTTTTATTTTGAAACTGACTGTTAGTAGATTTACATGTACTGTACATGTTCTGGCATGTGCCTAAATGAGAAAGAACAGCACAGCTGATCCTAAACTCAATCAAAGAGCAGAGGCAAGGGAATCTTCATAACAAAGGGGCCAAAGTGAGTGAGATACATGTACAAAAAATGCAAATCCAGAATTTAAGCAGAAACCGTATTTCGGTCGAATTAACAAAAATATTTTTCTTTTGTCTTTTCTTCCTCAAATCCCAGCTTGCAAACACGGAGGAGTACATTGATAGCGTGTTTCAGGGAAATCTTGGCGAAGTCCTCATCAGGTGAGAATTGCGTGGTGATTGTGGAGAAATTTATTGTACCCGTCGTGTAATAAAAGCACGGGTCCATCAGAGGCGCAGTACATGTAATTGACAACTTTTACTGATTTTGACTGGTAATATGGAAAGCATGGACAAAAACCTAAGAGGCCACATTTGCAGTTTGTTCAGTTTTGAAAAGATTTTGATATTTTAACACAGCTTAAAATGTTGAAAACGAAGTGAATTTGCAAAGTGTACAAATAAGATGTGAAGCTTTTCATAGCGAAGGTGGCAGGTTACATTGTAAGTAATAGGTTGGCAATAACTCCATACAGAGTATCTCTTTTACAAGTGTGCAAGTTTTTCATTTTTTTCTTCTTTGAATTTAATGGAATTTGCATGGACATGCTGCCTTACTGATTTGAGTGGATGCAGGACTTGTGTAACGGTGACGATGCATGTACCCAAGTGATATTTGCAGAACTTAATGCATGTATCGCCAAAACAAGTAAACCAAAATTCAAGCAAAAACAATAAAATACAGAAAAGGGAACAGGTGAGCTTGAATGAGAAACAAAAGATTGTTTCACGATATTTCTCATGGCTGTAGAGATACAGTACATTTATGTCAAAGGCAGCTCACAACTTTTTCAAAAATGTTGAAAAGAGCTTTGTTTTAAATGGAAGTGATAGTGGCACTGTTTTTGTTGTCCCTAAACAGATGTAACAATGTGATGTACGTCAGAGGCGTTGAGGAGGAAGAGGAAGATGGAGAGATGAGGGAATGATAGGCAGTCTCCATGGCAACAAGAGGATACTAGGCACTCTCTGTCTTCATCCCGCTGAGGGCCGCACAGCATCCTGGACTCAGTGCTGCTTGTGTGACCTGAGCAAGCATTCCCTGCCAACCATTGAGACTGTATCCTGTCCGTGTAGATCCCTGTATTATGTACATTCATATCACTGACTTCAACCTGATGATCCTTGAAAAAAATGATACCAAGGCTAATGACAGGGATTTAAGATGGAGGTGCCTTCTGTAAATAGTGTAATGGATCCTTTTCTTTATACATGTACATGTTACTACAAGCACATTTTGTGTAAGTTTAGTTTTGGGAACTGTTGGAAGATTTGTTTCTTTCATTTTTCTTCATTTCAGACAATGCAAATGTAGATGACCAGATCCCACCCATTTATTATGCACTTGTTGCGCACCCACACACTGTGAAGGATGAACTTCAATTTTTTTTAGTCATATGTTGTGGAGTGTTTGTGCTGGGAGGGTAAAATGCACATGCTTTTTGCCAGTTAATGTCTTTGTGCTGGCCAGTCACAGTCATAAGGTCAGCAACGCTGGGAATTGCATTGATTTTCTAAATTACATTGATTTTTCAAAATTACATTGATATTCAAAATTACATTGATTTTCATGCATACCGAAAAATACAAAAGAAAATAGGTGAATAATTATATGATATTTTGAAATGTCTCTTCAGCAAGTTTTTTATAAAAATATCTTCTACAAGAGGAGTTTTTCACTTAGAGAAAGAAAGCCTTTGGTTGCATTAGTACACTGTGGATTAAATTGTTTTGTTTTGCCCTTGGTAATAATAGATATCCTTGTTTTGAAAAACATGGCTCATCTCATCTTTGTTTCTTCCTGTTCAGAACACTGGGAAGGCCAGCATTCATGCAAAATTATGTTACTTTTTGAGAAGAATAGAAATCCTTAAAAGTACACCGCTTGTAGCATTTGCGTTGTTGCAATGGCGACTCGCTTTTTTTTTTAGTGAACCATCATCTTTTCGGCTTCTTCAGTACGTAGCAACAGATTCACTGAATCCATGTATAGCCACCGGAGAAGACGGAGTGACACAAATTAATTTCAGTTCCTATCCCTGCATCTGAAAAACTCAAGAACCTGATCCCCAAAAGAGCTGATTGACATTGTTGAGACTATTGTGTCAGGAAGCCTGTATCAGGAAGCCTTTAGAAAGCGCTCCCCACCATAACCCAAATGGCGTTTACTGAAAAAGAGTTGCTAATGAGGTTTCTCGGACGTGCCACTGTCAAATCAAATTAAACAATGTCGATGTTGAAGCGTTGGAAACATTGAAACCTCTGTCGAAGATGGTGTCACTTCACGTTTTGCGTGCAAAAATGGATATAAAAAGATCAACGGGAGCAAACGTGCCTTTCGGGGGGAGCAGGTTAGCGTAGCGGTTCTTTCCTCGCTTTGCACCAATGAGACCTGGGTCTAAGTCCCGGCTTGCAATGGCCCAGGCTTTAATGAAGTGCATTTGGTTTCTGGTCCATTTCGCAGGTTTTCTCCGGGTACTCCGGTCTCCTCCTGCCTCTAAAACGGGACCATCTTCCTAAATATCCGTAATTGATTGTGACATTAACATTTGCCGACTTGACTGTTACGTAAGCTTACTATTTTCAATACATGTACAAAAATGTATAATGTACATGTAGTCGCTTGCAGTGGCGTAAATGTCCAAGGGTGCACACATTTTGTTTACAAGGGGACACCACCAGAAAATAAGCTGATGCTGCATTTCAACGGAGATTATTCACAGATTTGGGGGGGGAGGACTCGGGGGACTATGGGGGTGCGGGGGCCTACGGGTGCCCCCGTAGCCATGCCACTGATCGCTACATGTAGACTGTTTTAGAGTCCAAGGAACGACCTAACCCATTGGAGCTATTTAATGTCAGGTAATTAACAGTTGCCTCAAGAGTGCAGATGTTTCGATGCTGCTCTCGGGGCCAGTGGGACTTGGTGGTATCATCAATTTTGTGAGTTGTCATTTGAGCTTGTTTTTGTTAAAAGCAACAAAATGTACTCAAAAACTTGAAATTAACTTAAATCCGATGAATCTTTCACACAGTGATCAGCGTTTTGATATGTTTTAATTATTTTAACACGATTCCACTTTTTAAGATAATTTGAATCCACATAAAAATATTGCCACCAAAATTTGATTATCATTGAAAATGTCTGGATCTTCGTCAATTCTTACCTGCTTACTTGGTGAGAGCGGTTGTGACATGTTTGCTAAACGCGGCAGCCTGCCACGTGCCCTGTCTGCTCTGGAGCTGTACGAGTGAGAAACCTTTCTGGTTCAACATTAATTTTGGTTTGAAATGCTTCACGACTAATTACTGTAAAGCAAAGGGTTTTTGCTGTACAATTTATAAACCTAAACTGGTGTTTACTAACGTTTATGTACCAACTGTGACGGCTATTGGCGGTAATTCAAACAGCAACAGATAAGCTTTTAAACGAAACGTCTGGTATTTTTTCGTGATCAGTTCAGCATGGTACCACTAACGGGAGACTTGCTTCAACAACAAAAAAGCCCCCTAACCAATTACATATAAACGGTAATGAAAGCCTTGACAACCAATGGGAAAAGGCCAAATATACATTTAGGTGTTTGGGGAAAGGGTGCTTTGGGTGGTCTTTTAATGGCATGTAAAGAGATTCACAGGGCTTTCATAATCATAATTATAGGCCTGCTAGTCGTTTCAGTGTCACGGACACGAGTCGACTGCGTTCCTGGGCGAAGTTTTTTTCATGAATCCACAATGCTACATCGTTGAGGAGGCGCATTACTCCAAGGCAAATTCACTGCGTACTCCTTACCTTTGAAAACTGCTCCTTTTTAAGTGAAAGGGAACCTCGGTCATGCCTGTTTCCCACCCTGACCCAGCGGACGTTGTTCGCTTACTACGAACGCTTTAGATTTTACGTAAGATAATCACCGGTAGGCCTACAAGATCTTCGATTAAGCGTTGAAAATGCCGCGCTGTTTTTCTCGATTGTTCACTAAGCAATTGACTCAAACATGAAACATGTGAGTGGGATGTAAGTTGCCATGAATATTATATACCGCAATCAGCCAATCTGGTGGAAATTACGACCAAAAAAAAAAAAAGAAAAGAAAAAAATGGTGTAAACTACCTTTAATACGTCCTACTTTGGAATGAAAAAGTTTTAGAGGTCGTTACTTTCCAATGAAGAAAGAGAATTTTAGGTTTTTAAGGGTGAGCGCGAAGATTAATGGACGTGTGTTCCTGTTGGAGATATAATTCCATATTCTTTATAACATGTTTTTCTTTTGTTCAATTTCTGCGCGTGGAGTATTCAGATCTTGATGTTGGCGGCATACGACTACAGCTTCCAGACGTCTAAATGATTCAATTATGAGGAGTCACTCGATTCCACTTGTAAAAAACAGCCAAAGTAGCCAGGATATCATAATGGAGCTCATTTGCTGGAAATGGCACTGTTTGTCAAAATACAGACATCCCAAAGTACGAGATTCAGCGGTTGCGTCATGCAGTGTGGTTTCAATTACGTTTCTGATGTTATTACGCCTGCTAAATTAGATTGGGGATGCGCGTACAGACAGACAGGTGTCGTTATTAAGCAAGCAATTTCCTTAAATGGTGGCCCAATAATAAGATCTCGAGTACAAACGCTCTGTGCACATAAAAAAGTCATGCCCATAACTGCAACTCCAATTAGCCTACTACTACTCTGTCTGATGTTGACGAATCCTGAGTATACGTTTATAACTCTCGATTATTTTGTCTGTTTATTGTAATTGTCGTTCTTATTTTTCCTCTTCAAAATATAAACAGAAGATTCTGCTGTTTTCAAATGTTCTCTGAACACACAAAACTTGTTCCGTCAATTTTAAAGGGCTGGTTTCATGTTTTCAAATGTTCTCTGAACACACAAAACTTGTTCTGTCAATTTTAAAGGGCTGGTTTCATGTTTCAAATGTTCTCTGAACACACAAAACTTGTTCTGTCCATTTTAAAGGACTGGTTTCATGTTTTAGGACTTCTTCTTTGTCTGTTAATTTGAATTTTCTTTTCTGGTGCATTGATGTATATTGAGATAACTGAAAATTACAGGAAATTAAACCTGGATTTATTTTTTCTACACATTGAGTTTTAAATATGCAAAGCGACTTACATGGCAACAGAAAATGGACTTGTTTTTATGTATGCCATTGGAAACGAGTTTCCTGTTCGGAAACGGATACCGGTTCATTTTCCTTTGCAAATAATTGTTAGCAACTAGCCTAGAGTAGAGTTTAGTGTGAACATAGTAAGAAAAAGATAGGTAAAATCAACTGTGAAAAAACAGTTACCTCTGTAACGTCAACCGACAATAGAATGTATTTTGAATTTGAGCTGTTTTTTTTACATGCTTCCTGTTTTGAAATTCAAAGCACAAACGCAAGTATCTCAGGAAAGTTAGACTACATTAAACAGTACGTCCATTGGTGCGATCGTTCGTCATGGGTCCCATAAAAAATCTTCCGCTAGCGGAAGATTTCTTGAGGGCCAGCCCTCATCCAAAAGTTCTTAAGGATTTGACAAGAATGTTTGTCACTCCTGAACATTGGTGTCCTTTCACACGATGAAACTTTCAAAAAATTTTCCAAGCATGAGACAACTTTTCATGCTAAACCTATTTGTACGGAATGGTAGCGTACACCCGGTTCAACCACTTTGTGAAAAATAAACAAAGATAAACGACTGAACGTTCTACGATTAAGTCTAATTTTCCACAAGGCATAGAAAATCAACAGCTTCAACTTCAAATCAACCGTGACAAAAGTGGCGAAAAGATGCAAATACTATTTCGCTATGAATATATTGTATCATCATGTATGGTGCGAGATCTACATCCCCTTGGGAAAACCAATGTCTTAATTAAGTTAAAACAGGAATTACGTAACGTAATACGTTTTGATTTGAAATATAGAGCACAAATTTTGATAATCAGATGGATTTCCCCATCTGTCTTTTATACAATGCCATCAGTACGAAACCTTTGACCGCAAAACATCTCCCGCAGGCCGTTGCGAAACTGGTGATACTTGAAAGCGTAGATGATTGGATTGACGCAGCAGTTGGTAGCCACCATCGCCACAGAGAGCAGGTAATACCACTTGTTGGGCTGGGTTTTCCAGCCAAGGTTGAACATGAAGAAGATCAGCTGGTTGGGCGTCCAGCACACCATGAACGTAATGAAGACGACCAGGAGCGTCTTGAATGTATTACGTCTAGCCCGGAGTAGAGATTCTCTCATATCGGACTCAGATGTCAAGGCTTCGCCGCTGGATGGGCTGGGAGCGGTTGCCACCGCTGCGGGCTGTGGACCTAACCTGGATGCTGCTCTCTTCAGCTCTAAGCCGATGCGAATGTGGGCAAAGAACATGACGCCAGCCGGTAGGAAATACACCAGGACCACCGTCAGGATGCCCACGGCCTGGGAGCGAGACACGACTTTAGAAATGCACCTGCCGTCCTCCACCTCGAAGATGATCAAGTTGTAGATCTTGATGACCAGCCCGATGAGCCAACACGCCACGAAGACCGCCCCGATTTTGAGGCGGGCATGGCTGGCGAAGGCCACTTGGTACTTGAAAGGGTGCACAATGGCGAAGTACCGCTCCAGCGTCAGGGAAAGCAGGTTAAACGTGGAGACTACGAACAGGCAAAACAGTAGGAAGTTAGACAGCCAGAAGAGGCACAAGAACCGACTCAACAAATCATCGGGCCGGAGACTAGGCAGCGGGACCTCACTTGTGAGAAGAATGACGGTAGAGCCCAGGAAATCTACCACTGCTTGATGGAAAATGAAGGCATTAGTACGAGTCTGTATCGCCGAGACTTTACAGATGACAACGCACACAAGGCCGTTGCCTAACATACCAAAGATGCCGATGGAAGTCTTGTAAATACGCAACACCAGTATATCTTCCATGATTACAGTTATCAAACAGGCAACGCGTTCTCTTATAGACAGCGATGTGTTGTCGTTACAGCTTCAGTGTGGTTGTCACCAGGATTTTTTCCAGGTTGGGACAAACCTTTTTTTCCAGGGGGGGATTTCCAAGCGGGAGACAATACACAAATCAGTCGAAAATGATAAAAAATTAATGGAGGGCGGTCGATTTTTTTTGATTGCAGGAAAAAGGTGATCTTAAGCCCTTCATCTCTTGTTTGTCATTTCTCTCGTTTTATTCTTTCAGTTTATTTTCTTGTTTTTCATTCTTAATATTTGTGGCGGGAAGCTCACCTTACCTCCTCTTGTGACGCCCATGAAATCCAAATCAATTTGTATAAGATCTATTTGTATTACAGAAGATTCCATTATAGCGCTCCCTGATATAACGCCCTTTCCGATGTACGGTTCTATTTTCATTTCCCCAACTGCGCACTCATTCACTGTGTACGTTTTTCTGTAGTTAAAGCGCTCTCGTTTAGCTTCTCAGGCTATTAACGCTCACCACTTTAGACCCCCGAGAATCATAATAGCCATATGAAACGATTCCGATTACTGCGCTCCTTTCCCTTGAAAAGTCAGATTCTTTGAAAATCTACGAAACTACACTGCGAGGTCGTCGTGACTGGACATCCTCTGGGACACCGCCAGTAATAATATAGCACAAGCGATCGCACGAAGTGAGGCACATACCCGGAAGTTTGTACACAGACCCGAATACCGTCCATAAACTTGATATCCTGCAGTGTTGTGTTGGTATACCTATACAACCTAACTATCTACTCCGAGCGGAACAAAAGAGGGCGTGTATTTTTTGTACTAAACTGCACAGGCGCGCCATGGGGCACGCAAGTATGCGCGTGTTTGACGCGGTGCGCGCTTCGTACGCATGACTAATAATTCTCCCGGCATGTACGGTCTTTGCCATTGATCTCCATTATATAGACTGGATCGGACATCGCGCATTGTTTGTGCACAAAATGCGCGGCCGATCATTGGCGGCGCTTCAGGAGGGTAATGTGATGCTGTATGCCGTGCATTTCTGGTCAACATAACCTTTTTCCTATGGGACGATGGCTATTAGCCCTCGGCCTCCCTCCCCAAAACAAGCTAAAGCTAAACAGGAAATGCAAGAATATCATTTCCGGAAATAACTGACCATTTTCTTATTAACTAACGCACTCGAAAGCGATAATGTTAACCTGTTTTGTGTTTGTTTTTAATCCATATTTTACACCTATTGTCTACGGTCTCACTTTAGAAATATTTCAACTTTGGGTCAGTTCAGTTGTGATTTGTTCAGTGTGTAAAACTTTGAGAATTCCACTAGGACATGCAATAGGTTTTGTCAGTAAATATGATGTCCAAATTGTCCATGTGTTTTTCCGTCTTGCTTCGACGAGCCAACACTGAAAAACTCGTCAATAAAATGATTTTAATTTTACACACTCTCAGGAAAAATTGTTCTAAATAAAATTCATTCATATATTTACTGAATTTCATTGAAAACCGACATGCAGCACACGGAAGTGTGAGAATCTTCTCTGTGAGCACAATATGAGCCCAGCTTTAAATGACCGACTAAACTAACTTACTGCCGTTTCTAAAACAGACACTTATTAATCAGGTTTAAAAAGTTGAGTTCACAATCTGAGTTAAAGATCTACATTTAACAACTACTTTCCGGCATACAAAGTAAGATTTAACAGAGAACGAATAATTTTGCTAAAATTATTGTGTTGACTTTGAATTCCCTTGTTTGTAACTTCATTCAACAGAAACGTCAGCACTCTGCTTCTCACTTTGGTTTCGTCTCTGCCCCGAAGAAGAATTATGTCACTGATATCACATCGTCTGTGACACGATTTGGGTTCAGTACGTCTTTAGATCCGACGAACACAAATCCTGGCTGTCTGGGAGATTTTTCCGGTGAAATCTGGGGAAAATAAACGACAAATTAGTCATTCAGTTTTTGAAACCACTTTTGCCAATAAGTAACATCTCAGACGGTCACAACTTCGAGATAGTGAAGTTTCATGTGCAAAGCCTGATAGGTTAGATAGACTGTCATAAATTTTTTTACCGGACCTAAAAAGGCTTAAAGCTAAGCATTATAAAGTACAACTTGAGAAACGTTCTGAAACTGAAAAAAGAGCGACTCACAGTTCTTTCTGTTCCTTCTTCCAAACTTGACGTTGATCTCCGGTAATTCACTGCTGCGTACACCAACCATTATTCTTTCCAAATGTATCCATTCCAAGTGCAGAATTCAAGTTTTCTTCTAAATCTGACGATTGAAGCACAAAAACCTCAACCGGTTTTTGAAAAACTCCATTTGAAAGTACACATAGAACGCGTGCAAGAACCTGCTTGTAACCACATGCCTTTCTTTCCGCCGAATGGGGATGCACTTCAGCTCGGGGTGAATAGTGTGCGTCTGCCAGCCAGTTGTCTGCAAAAGCCCTGTACATTAGTATGGGCGGCCAAAAGGTCCAAAATCAATTAAGTCTATAATAAACATTAAGAAATCTACAAAGGTCAAAACAAAAGCCAAAGATTATTCTTGTGAAAAAACAGACAAACATTAACAAATTACAAAACACCAAGAAAATGAAATTGTGTTTAAACAAAGTCAAGAGGTGACAGAACACATTCACAAAAGATATTCAAAATCAAGCAAAGCATTAAGCACAACAAAAGGACAAATTTACAAAATGAGAAAGTCAAAACCAAGCTAAGGGCAAAACAACAAGAGGATCTATTTACAACCCCAAAAGTCGAAATCAAAAGACGAAATGATAGGAGGACCATAGAGAAAAGACATAGAAGGGGTTGCAACTCAGGCACTTCAAAGCGTTCAGTGATGGTCGCCGCCGAGTTAGACGAATAATAGAAAACATTCAAAAAATGCCCGATTACTGCCTGCATCTTAGCCGGACAAGCGGGGCCAGTAAATATCCTGTTAATACTTGTAGTTTTTTGCTTGCAATTAAACACAAATTATCGATGTGACCAGGAAATAGAGAAAAATTCCTGATATTAGAACTACTTTTGCTATCGTAAATGTACTTTTTAAAGTTTGATACATTGTTCCATTATTCATACGTCCATCAGTGTCCAAAGACTTTATAAGAATTTGGCTACTGGCAAACAAAAATGTGCACTACTGCTGGAATGCTTGGTTCATTGGAAAAAAATCTGTCTGTCAGATATAGGTTTTGGGTTCAGTGAGTTGGGGTAGAGGACAGTTGGAGCATTGAGCTACAAACCCCGTGTCTGATGTGCCTTGAGGACGTGAGCCTAGCCATGAGGTGCACCAGATCAAAAGAAGGTGTGAATTTTTTCTACTTTCTCCAAAGTCTTACATAGGGCAGAAATGTTCATGTAGTTGGCCTCAAGCTCCTTGCTAAGCAGGCCAGTTTTCCTCCTTCGGATTTTTTTTTTTTATTGAGAAGGGTACGGTCAATTGAAGCAGGACCTCCCATGTGCAACCAGTCCCAACAGGCGATCACCATCAAGAGGAATTCTGTCCTAGCTTGCTGTCATATGTTCAGGTCCTTAGGCCCCCTTTGTCTCACGGCACAGCAGAGGTGACGGACTGTGAGCACCCGGTGTCCCCTGAGATTCCACGGTCATTGCCTATACACAGACATGCGAGCACAAGATACCCCTGAGTGACCCAACATCCTTTCGTCTGCCATATCGGCGAATTCCCCCAGCAGACTTCCAAAAAGTGAAACAGCATATATCAATGACCTCAAGAAGGCAAATGTCACCAAAGAAAGCCGATCTTCTTTCACCCCGCCGCTATAGTTATCGTCAGAAAGAGGGACGGAAACTTCAGATTGTGTGTCGATTTCCGAAAGCTGACTTCATAATTAATTTACTCTCACCCCATCAGGGCGCTGACGCAACCACAGGCCACTACAATAACATGGGTAACCTTTGCTTCAACAAGACTCTTTAGCAAATGAAGCGTCGCTGCCGGAGTTAACGTTACACACTGACGCTAAGAACTGTGTTTAGACATGCAAACGTTGAGCACTACAAAAATCACCGGATGGGAAGAGAAGTGCTACCTTACATAACCTCAAAACATCACATCCACTCCAGTTGATCTGTATAGATTTTCCGAGCTTAGAGAAGTCGGCAGCCTGGGTATGAACACTTGTTGGTCATCACCGATCATTTCACACGCTACTCGCAAGCCTTCCCCTACGAAAGATCAGATGGCTACAACTGTTGTTAAGGACTTTTGGCAGAAGTTCCTCGTTAACTGCTGCATCTCGGAGAGGATCCATTCGGACCAGGGGAGGTGTTTTGAATCCAGGGTCCTCAAGTAGCTCTGCTGCCTCCTCGGTGTAGGCCTACTTTAAACCAAGACTACTCCTTATCATCCCCAGGGTAATGGTACGACGGAGAGATTTAACCATACCCTCCTCTCTATGCTGGGCGCCTTAGAGCAGTCTTGGAAGAAGAATTGGGCAATGCATGTAGAAGCCTTGACCCACGCGTATAACAGCAGTGTACATGAATCTCCTGCGAGACCCAAACTTCTAGCTGATGAGCTGCTTACAACACACCTGCAGTCAGATGAAAAGGAGAAGGATGCAGAGTGTCCAGTCTTTGTAGTGCAACTCCAGCAAGAGCTCCATGAAGCCTACCAAGCAGTAGAAGCCAAAGCAGAAGCGTCACGGCAGACACAGAAGGCAAACTATGACAGGATGGTGAAGGAAACCACATTCGAGCCTGGAGACAGGGTACTACTGGCAAACAAATCCGTTCGAGGAAAGCAGAAAGTGAAGGACAAGTGGAAAGAGATTCCCTACATCATTGCTAGATGACTGCCCAACATTCCGGTGTACAGGTTGGCTCCATTAGCACAAAGGCTGTACACAGAAACCTGCTAGTAAGATGTCCCTTTGAAGTAGCTACACCTGCAACTACTCCCAAACGGGACTCCCAGTATCACCAACTGACCACCTGAGTTAGAGGATGCAGAGTTATCATCCGGACCATCAGTGAAACGCACCTGCCAGGGTGGATCCTAAAATCCTTCTCCAGCCTCCACGACGATTCTAGTGATGACGAGGCCAGGGCATATAGCTCGGACGACTCAATCCTCTTCAGCAGGCCTCGACGTCACATCCGATTGTCAGCTCGGTATCACGACTTAATAATTTAGTAAATCAGTAATTGTTTGTCGACTTTTGTTCCATTTGTTGTCAGGAGCCAACACTTTTGAGATGGGGAGAGTGTAGACCGGTGGAAAATTATTTGGATATTTTCTGTATGCAAGTTAGCTGCCCATCGAGACCCGATCAATTGAACCAGGACCGTCCCGTAATGAACCGTTTTTCGCCGCTACACTAGCTCTCGCTACCAATTACCAGCTCCTCAGTCCTGCTAGCACACGGGCTTGTCGCTTTGAGACTTGTTGCTGGTGATCTCTTTCACATGTTTATTTTAAGTATGGTGAGCATTGTGCTGGTGCTCATCCCACTCTCCTAATCCAGAACAACAACTTTCGGAAATATTCAGTTCGGCTTTAAAGCGGCATTATGAGGCTGCCTGCATACCTACTATAAGTACTTATAATCTTGCATACTTCATGGAGGCAGAGCAATTAAATGCACGTTCTTTGGTGGGGGTTGGGCATGGTCTCACTTGCCCCCACTTACGCCCCAGTTCCCTTTAGTTATTTTTGTATGGCCATATTTCGACGACTTTCTTTTCTGTTCATGGTTGCGTAAATAGGCTATTCAGACTAGAGAGAAAGCAAGTGTCATCATACCGAGCACTGAACTGATCACGAAAACTAACTTAACTTCTTGTTACTTAGCTTATCCGACGCCAATTCTGTTTTTTTCCAGCTGATATCCGAGATAACTAGTATAAATTTCACTGATCACACATTGTGGATAAACACAAGTGAACAACATTTCAGGATTATAAACTATGTAAACACTGAACAATAAATTTCCTTTGCTCTACATTTAGTGCATTGGCTGAAGTGCGTGTTGGTCAACCAAACTGAACCAGAAAAGCTTCTACTCTTCCGGCTCCGTGGTCTTAGTTTCAACAGCTTCTTGTACGTGCATAAGAACCATCAGTGTTAGAGGGCGCTATCTTGAGACAACCCGCTGTGAGGCAAGAATCTGGAGCAGCAACAGACTATGGCATTTAATGGCTAGCATATGTATTATTCATATCCGGGAGAGATGATCTGCGGGAATTTTGAGAAGTACATGCAGTGTGCTTTGCGTTCACGCCTGCCGTTTTCAAATCAAACAGTCACCACGGTTCCCTCGGACGCTCCGAGCTAAGTGAGCTTGGTGTAGACCTTGAGCACTGAGGTTGTCGAGTCAGGAGCCGCCAAAAGGTGTACTGGGTGGACCTTGCCTGTTTGTGACTCGTGTTCTTTTCCTACTTGAGGCTCGTGAGTTTTACTCCTGAATGCACATCAATCTCGATCTCCTGGACATGTCAGTTCCGATCTCAAGATTTCAAAGCGAATTTTATGCCGTTGCTGAAGCAGAGTATGTTTTGAATAGAGCTTCCCAAGACTTACACTGCATGAATTTCACTGTGTCGAGTTGGCATACATATTTAATGTTAAAAATCTGGCAAACTTCACTTACTCGTGATCAAGCAGGTATAAATGCTCATCGAATTTTGGTTTCTTTCTTTGTTCAAATAAATATTGCTGGTGATTGGTGGATTCCATGCCTGGTCCTTTCAGAGTCCTTGTTTACATAATTATTAGTCGCAGTAAAATACAGTCAGTCTTCCCTCGACCAACCCCGTTTAGACATTCTCGGTGTGCACGTATATGTAATGCCATGCAGTTTCCCCGCTTGCCACGTTGGGCGTGGGAGATTCCGAATTCAAATGTGTCCACGCTCGCGACCAACACACCTCCTCCCATTTTCAGTAGCCACCTTTGGTAAGTATGGTTTTATTAATATCAGCTATGTCTATCAAGATTTAATTGACCTCAAGTTTATATCTTTTGTCTATATCATATTGTTTCGCTTCGTAAGCATAGACAATAATTCCGTTTACGCCAAAATAGAAACTCGAACATTTCCTAGGGCTTATGCCCTTATTTCGTAGATCTTCATCCGCAATAATTAATGCACATATATTTTGGACCTGTAGTGTTACAGTACTAATTGTTTAGACTTAAAGATGAGGACAAGTACTGATGTACTAGAAACGTGAATATGAATGTGTCGCCAAGAACCTTCGCCTCTATGAGTGTACTGGCGATTCCTCGCCCCAGGAACTATTGTAAGTTTATATTTTATGAGGTATGCTTGATTTAAAGTAATCAATTTATCAAGAAACTGACACTCGTGCAAAGAGGTGCTGCCCATTTGCACTTGATTAAGTGTTCCCACAAACTTGTTTAATTGTTTATCTGGGATTTAATTTGCACTAGTATGGTTATATTGCTCAGTGTGCGTTTATGCATTTTTGTTGTTTTTAAGGTTTCACCTGCATCAGCGGTGTGCGAACAAGTTGGCCTTCATGAAGTGACCATTTGAACATTGTGAAATTCTGTTGAGCAGTCGTACATAAAGGATTCGTGTATTACGAATTTTAATGCATCGTGGCTTGATTGAAAAGGCGAGCTGCACGAGGATATGTAGGCCTATAATTATGATCACGAGCAGCAATGGAAGGACTAATTTCAGGAGAGGAAGTCAATATTCCTCAATAAATCTAATGATGCATTGGAACACACAGCTGAGTGGAGGGAGATTACGGATGATTGCCTTCGTTTGGAGTGTATTGCAATTCCACATTCACGGGATAGGCCTGCAAATACATGTACAGTCATCGGGGCTGGAAAAATGAGATTAGGAAGAGAATGATTTATAGCAAAAGGAGTGTAAAACAGCCGCCAGGTAATCCCAGCGGAAAACTACAGACTCTGCATGGCCAAACGTTTTTGATTGGAAGGTAGCCCAGCTATATATATTCCAAGCAGCTTTTGTATCGTCCGTCAACCTCAATCAAACTGAGACTGAAGATAGCTTGTATGCATGTTTGCAAAAACAAATTTGTTTTCGTTCGAAGAATTCGTAGAAATGGAGAAAATACTTGCTCTACGAATTTTGAAGACAATAACTGGAATTGTAGGCATCTTAGGCAACGGTCTTATTTGTGTTGTCATCTGTAAAGTCTCAGCGATGCAGACTCGCACTAATGCCTTCATCTTCCACCAAGCAGTGGTAGATTTCCTAGGCTCTACCATGATCCTCGTCCAAAGTGAGATCCCCTTGCCCGACCCTCTGCCAGACAACGGTCTTGGGTGGGTCATATGCAACGTCTGGCTCTCCAACTTCACCCTGTTTTTCGTGTTCGTGGTCTCGACGTTCAACCTGCTGGCGGTGACAATGGAGAGATACTTTGCCATTGTCCACCCGTTCAGGTACCAGGCCGCATTCGTCAGGTATCCCCGCGTGAAAGTCGGTGCCGTTATCGTTACCTGCTGGCTCGTCGGGGCCGCCATCAAGCCATACCTGATGACCATTTTCGAGATCCGAGAGGGGAGCTGCCGCTCACTGTCAGGATCGAAAGCGGTGGGGATCCTGACCGCATTCCTGCAGTACATCCTCCCCGTCGGTGTGATGTTCTTTGCCTACATCCGCATCAGCGTGGAACTGAAGCGGGGCGCTGCTCGTGTGGGCCCGCCGCCGCCTGGAGCTGCAGCGCCCGCAACAGAAGCTGCTTCCCCCGCGGAGCCGGTTCCCCCGGATATGGGAATGAGGGAGTCCCTTCTCAAGGCTAGACGGAACATCTTCAAGACGCTCTTGACAGTTTTCATCACGTTTCTGGTCTGCTGGACACCCAATCAGGTGATCTTCCTCAGCTACAATCTGGGTCTGTTGGACCTTAATTTCAAGGAGTGGTATTACCTGCTGTCGGTGGCCATGGTCGCCGCAAATTGTTGCGTTAATCCGTTCATCTACGTGGCCAAATACCGCCACTTTCGCAACGGTCTTCGGCAGATGCTCTGCGGAAACACGTGTCGCAGTGATACATGTACTACTTTGGCTTAGGCTTCAACATCGGCCTTCCTCGAAACTATTAGGCCTATAATGACAGTCCAGTGTACAAACTTAGCCCCTGTGTTTGCTTTTCAAAACTGGGGTGCAGCCCCACCCTATCCACTTTATGGAGCACAGAGCGCACTGCCTCGCACTTTACATCAATTTAATATGAATTACGATCAGTTTGAGTGTTTATGCACTTTACGACAAACATGCCCGGCGTAGTCACCGAGATCTATTTTTGAGATTTCTTCGGAATTTCAGGTACACTTTCTGATGTAGACGAGAGGGGAGCTCGTAATTGCTCTCAAACTTAGATCAGAGTTGTCTATAGGCCTAAGGGCATTGTTTTTAATGAGAAAAATACATTATTTACATTAACGTGTATGTGTAGTGCTGTGTATGAATGGTACATCTCATCGATTTGATTGTTGTAGTAATGTGACCAGTTACTGAGAAGATATAGCTCTGTTTAATTAAGCATGCTTTCAAATACTAACAAAAATTAATTGGCGGTTGCATCCTTCTTAAACGAGTGTTCTTACAAGAGTTTCCATTATGTCTGCGTCTTGATTGCGTTGCTCTCTGCGTTTCTTACGTCGATACGGAAACCAGGTTTAAGACCTGTTCAGGAGAATAGACGCGACTAACGCCCGAGCTGCAGGTGGGGGCATTATTAGCGTTTTGTCTCTTGAGCCGGTCGTAAGCGTTAATTTAAGACCGGCCAAGCACATTCCTTTTTTAGTCAGCTAGTCAAAAGAACTCAATGTTTGATGGATTTCCAATGATTTTGTTACAGAATTTTACTTTCATTTTCCCGAACATCCCCGTCCACTGTATGGTATATTCCTTGTGCAAGTTGTCCAAAAGAATCTCCTTATATGGACTTGGCACGCGTGGCAAGCTGCGTGCACACAGACTCTTGACCAATAATTATCGATTAAACTGTCTCGTTTCCAGGTGCCAGCGCGTGATTTACACAGCAGGCTTTACATGTATCAGTTCTAAGCAGGTATAATGTTAATACACTGTGAAGTTGCACGTTGTTAAATAGGGAAACTGTCTGAGGTATTTATGAATGTGAGTTCAAACAGTCATGACTTATTTCAAAACCTCACTTTAGATTCTAAGGGCTTAGAGATATCTTACGAATTAAGCAAGACGCTATAAATAGACGTTTCAATTCCACAAAATCAAAAAAATTCTTCTCACCTTTCCAAACCTGTTTTGCTTAATTTTATTCTTTATTAAACCAAGAGTCAGTGCACAAGTTTGGTTTATCTCTTATCAGTGATCCGCATTATACTGACTAGATATTCCCTTTTTCTTTCTTTCTTTTCTGGCCCACGTTTGCATTTTTCAGGAGGGTAAAGAATGAACATAATGCAACTTCTAAACCGATGTTACGAAGCATTTGGATTTCCTCCGTTTTTACTCGCTTTTTGAGTCCATTGAGGAAAGAGATAAAAACTAAACAGAAACGCCTGGATAATGAAAGGAAGAAAAGTTAAATAAAAGGGATGTCATTCCGTGGGGATTCATTTCTTGGAGAGGGGTGGGAAAAAAGATTATCATGTTGGTAGTATTCGTTTCACCGCCGCCGTCTTAGCTCAGTCGTTGATAAGATAACACAATGGAGAAAAATAATGGACAAACAACCAAACCTGCCAACGATGTTATCGGTATCTTCAATGAAATTTTGGTTACAACAGCACCAGCCTGCGCAGACGCTCAAGCCGTAGTTTAGACGGAAATTTCCAATTTCTCCACTTTAACATACTATGAAGGTTGGTTAACATTTAGCCCAATCGTTCAGTTCAAACGAGCTTCGAAGTGGCGAGCACGTAATACAAGTTGTTGTGTACGTCTTTGGAGGAATATATAACTATATATATAAAGCATGATGACAAACGCTCCTACCACGCAATTTTTGGAGTCAACATGTTTTAACCCTCCAAATTGTTATTGTTTTGTAAGCAATTACATTCTACTTTTAAATGATCTTTCAAATAATTATCATTTCATAGTGAACGCGTTACATAGCCTTAAACGGCACAATCCAGGCCCTTAAGATTGATAAATGTTTTGTGGCTCTGTGGTTACCGATATTTAAGGCAATCTCATTGATTTTGATAACAGTCACATGACCTGGCCTGAGAGCAACGGAGAGGGCTGAGTTTGGACCATCTCCCCTCTCCTCCCCCTTTGTCCAGTGACAACTTTTATTGTAAAAATGGCCAGAGGTACAAAATGAAATGCTTAGGGTTTTGCGTGAGAATACATGAGGGGGCACATTTTCGGAAGAGGGAAACGAGGTCCGATCCTGGACTCCTATTGCAGAGACGTACATGCCCACAATCTCACTCCAATGTCTCCTGAAAGCTATATTACCCCTTTGAGTCAAATCTCGGCGGCCGTCCCTTGCGCCTGTTATAATCGTCATTTGCAGTGAACCGGTTCACTGAACTATTCTCTACTATTTCCGTTTGAGTCAATTTACATGTATAAATAGCTTGCCTTCACTTGTTAGTTCACCTTATCGAGAACTAGCACACGCTACACCGAAGAAGTCAGATAACTTTTTTAAAAAGTCAATTCGCGTTTAGAGGCGTGGTTTTAGGCTTTAATTATACTAATTTTTTCCAGTCTAACTGGAGGAACACGCATCCACAGATCTGTCTTCATAGGAGAAACACACATAAAGTAAGTACAGATTATCAGACGCGCCAAAATCTGGTGATGAGTTGGATGAGGGTTCAGACAAATTTTGGCAAATTGAAGGGATCAAAGATCAAGAGAAAGACTATATTAGTGTCTTTCACCCCCGAAACCTTTATGGACTTAACGCTAACAACAGCTGAGATCAGGAGCACCGTCATCGATCCTGGGTTACAACTCTAGCTTGAATTCACTTTAAACTCGAACCCGGCGTAAGTTTTCTATTACAGGCATTATTCTTAGTTGCCGATAAAAGAAGGCGACAATATGCTAAATTTGCCAAAGGAAAATTGATACAAAAATCGGTTACGAAAAGAATCACCACTCAAATCGTCTCTGTTTAACATTAATGTTTTCAGTAAAATGACAGCACAAACATCCACAATATTTAACCTTGGGTAGGTAGAACTGGTGCTGATCACGAACCGAAAGACTCAAAAAGATTCCATAGTAAACGCTTGTTAACACAAACTCAATACCTACGAAGAGGCTTGCAACCCCTTAAATTTGATTATTTTTATATTAAAAATGCGCCTTTGGTGGGCAACCGAGGAGCGGGCGTGCCAAATTTGGAAACTGAGCAATATTGAAATGTATACGTTGAAAAGCACTGCAAATATTTAGCCAGAACTGCCTTGTGTAAACAACACGTGTATGCTCGAACTGAGACAATATATGAATAGACTTAGAAAACCCCCAAAAGGTTAAATCTTTGATCTTTAAGCAAACGTTAAATCTTTGATCTTGAAAAAATACGAGAGAAAAGAAACTCAACCCACAAACATCGCGCTTTTAATCTCATTACGTTTAGACCTTGGGTACGTGGTCATTTTGGCGTTAGAAGCTGTCGTCGGCTGGGGTGGCCTCGAAATGCTTTCCAAAATACTCTTCAAAATACTCTCAACCATATATTAGGAAAGAAATTGCAAAACTCTGTTTAGAGATCAATGCAAGAAGACGTGCATTAGTAAGCCTATCGTGCATGTTGTGATAAAAATGCAAAACTTGGCACACGGCAGAGATAGACAAATAAACAATTCTGATAAGCATTGTTGATGTGGCCCTTAACGACTGTAGCGGCCGTCAATATTATAACCAGCGCTGTGCCGGAGCTTCTATGAGACAAGGTTTCTTTTGCTGTGTGAAAAAGTGTTATTCGTCCCATCTCTTTTCATCTACTTGGATTCAAAACGACCCGAATAAAGTATTTTCATTCAATTTCTCACTTAAAATCTATTTTTAAAAATGCTTATCAGCAGTTGTAAAAACCTTCACTATCATGTAGGGGGCAGGTGGCAAAGCGACCCCGCTGAAATTAAAACTTCACTCTTTGAACAGTCGGAAAATTGTTTATTATACACTTTTAACACAACCTTACAACGGTGTAACCGAAACTGTGCCTCGATTATTGGAACCCAGAACTCCAATTTTCATGTTTAACGAAATTCAAACTAGTGCATCTTTATATTACCTACAGATTTTGCAACTCTATTGCATGCAGTAAATTTTAACACAAGTGCATTCGAACCCAAGACCTCCTGTTTAGTAATACAGACGTCTTAACCACCGAGCTTGCCGGTGTCATATAGCTGGTTCGAATCAGATGTAGCAGCGGGTACTGCAAAACAACTTCTTACGGCTCGGCTTGCTTGTAGCCCTTCCTTTGACGAATGTTCCGCATGGCCCATTATGTCCACAAACTTTTTCAGGCCCATTATGTCCGCCCCATTGTATCCGCAGGCCCATTATGTCCGCCCCATTGTGTCCGCAGGCCCATTATGTCCGCCCCATTGTGTCCGCAGGCCTATTGTGTCCGCCCCANGTCATTAAGTGAATTAGAAAAAAACCATATACAAAAGCGAGCCGGCCCTTGCGCCACCAAGCTCCGGATACAGAGTTTTAAAACCCACGCTCTGTGGGAAACACCAGCCTAATGGGCCCACGGGCGAGTTATGTGTTGACAAGCGTTAACCAGTCACTATCGTGACCTTGCTTTAGACCAGTGATGACTTCCTCAAGGTAAGGATTGTACCCTGAATAATAAGCACATTACGTACACATTTTCTGGGAAATTCAGTTTTGCACAAACACTGGCATCTATGCCAGCAGGTAGTTTGTTTACGTTTCGATGCGATTTCTCAAGATTCGGAACAAAGAATTCGAAGTTTTCCCGAAGTTTTTATAAGTGGGCTGTAAGGGAAAAGTTCTCAAGGGTTTAGATTTGCCGACGGTTTGACGTTAGCCTTTTTGTTTCTTTTCCTGACAAGACGCGTTTGTATATCGACTTAACT